ACAGAATCGCTTTCTTAGTCTTAGCATGTGTTACTTTTTTAAAATTGTCGACCGTACCTATTCACTGGACTTCATTTTGAGCAACAAATGTAACTTTTTCAATACGTCGCTTTCTGATAACTATGTCGCCGTCAAAATCTATAATCGTAACGCCTTATAATTTTCAAAGGGGTAAGTAGTAGAACATACTGCACCTGTACAATGTAACACCACTTTTCACCAGCTTTGTCGAGTCCCAAGTTATAAGAAATGAGTTTATCTCCATCTACCGGGCACAATTGAAGACTACTGAGAATTTTTGACAAATCGAAAACTTCAAAAGCTTTAGGACCTTTTGTCAATCATGATTAGGACGACTCATTATTAAAATATTTATCACGCGGTTCATTTCTCCCTCAGTTCAGCTCCTGGAAAGTCTACCTGACTTCTTCGATCTTCCGACCCGTGGCCTTACTGACCCACTACTAAGTGTATCAGTTTAGAAATGGTACTGTTCGTACACACCACGGAATATAGAATACAATGGAAGTAGCAAGTAGGCGTGGCACGCGTGCCACAACTGAGCCGTGTACTGCGTACTCGAGGCAAATTCGAGTTCAGTCTCGTTCGAATATGGCGTCGAGTTTCTAGTCTCGTGACAAATACATATTTCCTCAACTATGCCGTTTTGTTCCGTTTTAGCGTGTAAAATTGATAGCAGCCGAAAAATCGTAAAAATGGAGGTGTTTCGTATCATCGGTAAGTACAATTTTCATTGTTTTCTTGTAGAAATCTTATTTTATTTCAATTATCAAAAACGGTTATTAAAATAATATTATTTACTAAAACGGTTAGTCAAAATCAACCTTACGCCTTCAAGATAAAGTTTATTTTGGATTTATTCCATTCAATAGAACATTCTCGCCAGTTCTACGCTACTCAAATAGTGATGTAGTCAAATCACATATTGAATTTATCGATTGATATCGATGCAAGTGTAATGTAACATTTATTTAGATTATTTTTTTATTATTATTTTAGTGGTGACCCCGACGTGATTGGAAGCAACCTTCACTTCACGGAGCAGATCAGCACCGTCATCCTTATCGCCATCCCTCTCATTTATCACATTATCCATATAAAATTTGTAAAAATTTATGTAATAGTTGTTACATATATTGCCTATGTGAAATAAAAAAAAATGTTTTTTGAAAAAAGAAACTAATAAAAAATACGAACAAAATGATTTTTAATTTACATGCAAATAAATACTTACCCTTTTTTGTTACGTTTAAAAAGTTATCAACGACATATTAATTTTATTATTTTAATACTGTCACACTATCGTAGTCAATATTTTTTTTCACATTATTTTTAAAACACATTTTCATATTATCGATATTATTTTTATCGAATTAGGCTACATCACTATCTGAGTAGATACCCGCATTCGAGCCAGTGATAAGCCATTCAAATATCACCTTTATTCTTATGACGTTAAAGTTCAAACCAAGTACCACTTTTCGTCGCTAGATGGCATTGTTAAACGCCATCTAGCGACGAATGGCGGTACTTGGTAGTCCAAAATATACTTTTTTATTTTGATTTATAGTGCATTGATTTTAAAGTTGCATATCGTATGATATTTTATTTGCATTTCGTTTACGCCCATTTTTTTTCTAACCAATCGTAACTTCCGATTTATAGTATGAGTAAATTATAAATGTATTAGTTTGGCGACACCGGTTCTGGCAGAAATATTGTTTCAAGCTACTTCCATTGTATTCTATATTCCGTGATACACACACATTAACACATACCTAAAAAGGGGCGAAAACGGCACAAAGGTGAGTAGACAAACGAGATAATTATGAATGACTTGTTTTATTAAAATTATACTCTATATATCTCACTACAGTAGACAGCCCTCGGCACCGCTATGAAATCCATTCATTTTGCCAGTAGTTTTACTCAGGACCCTATGTCCATTGCGCATGACCATCCGTCACGGTCTTTTCTAAAATAATTATTATTTTTAATATACCACCAAATAATCTGGTATTGAGTAGACAATTGTGTTATATCCTACTTATATAAAATAAATAAATAAAATGTAATAAAAAAGCCATTTATTTCTTTATATAAATAATGTTAAATGTTTGCAGAAACTATCCGGATGATGTCGAATTTTCAGATTACTTGGTGGTATTTATATTGATTACAAAATGTAAGATAATGTATGCTTAATATTAATTGCTAACTAGTTAAAGAGAAACTGGAAGTCTATAGGTTTTGGCGATGATAAAATAGACGTTGTTTTTGGCTAAAGAGAATCACCTCTAGCATATCATTTCAGGTGGATAACAGCCCACCTACGTTTATGAGTTTCCCTACCGTGAAGAAAAAACGAAAATAGAAACTATAAATAATACATAGATATTACCTAACTCCAATCTGTTGCTGTTAATACCATAAACGAGTCAAACGAAAGATATAATCACTATACATTTGTTGTTTATCGATATCATATGATTTTGAAACTAAACTTGTATTCCATATATATTATTTTATAACACCCTGAGAGTCCAAGAAGAATAAGAAAATATACTTAATACAAAAGAGAAATACACACATGTGTAGTTTGCAACGTCTATTTATCTGCCTGCCTTACTATGACGGACGTCACGTCACGGCGCAATGGAAACAGTGGCCCACACCGCATCGCACGCTATGATACAGCAAATCATAATTACGGCTACGACTTCATGATTATATATCAGTTCTTGTAACTAAAGCTATGACAAAATATATTATATTCCAATATTAGTTCACCTCCCGTCCAACATTAAAAAATACAAAACATTTGCGTAATCCTATCTCTTCCTTAGCCACCATTTATTAGAAACACAATACAAATAAAATTTCAACCTTTCCTTTATTGTAGCGACCCCAGAATTGACATCGGTACAAAAATCATACAAAATGATGATAAAAACATAACCACTTGGCACCTCGATACTTTGCACACGAAAAGAAACCTTATTGACGTTTGTACTACATACTAGAGTATCATTTATGGTTTGAGCAATATGTATACATTTAAACACTGATTTAGACCTAAGGTCCTATTAAATAAAGGCACTAATCCATTGCTATGTATTTATTTCATGACTTCTTTTTCTTTCCAATAAATGTTGATCTGTCACAATATATAAAGTCTGTTTAATGCGAGGTCAGTTTATATTGGAATCTAGCCTTTCTACAGGAGGTATATCTCAGGAACATTTATTAACTCGTCGAGTACCGGTTTTATAGACACAATTAAAGAACAATAGGTCGCGGTCACCGGTGACCGCTTGGTCTTTGACAGTTTAAGCAAAGATCCACTACAGTTATTCATTATTAAAATTCTATTTCACGATACCAATTTTCTTAACGTTAATGCCCCGTTTTTGAAAAGATACTATTATTATTTATTTAATTAAGATAGCAGAATATTGAAAGCTCTTTAGTTGACATATGTAATGTATGTATCAGGAAGACATGACTAGAAACAAATGAAAAACACTATGAAAGGAAAGTCCATACAGCCGCTTCAAGAAGACATGTGAATCATTACAGTTATTTGCTATGAATCAGTATTTATTTAAATTGTTGGAAAAACCTTGGAAATTGTGAGACTATTCCTAAGTTTCGAGTTATTTCTTTGAGTTTTACCATCGAGACTGATATAAAACCTATAAATTCTGTCATACAGAGCCACATTTGGATATCAGCGCAGTATATTATATATTTGAGTAATAGCATTGGAGGATAAAGTGTTTTTTAACGTCACATAGTCATTATTAGCGCTTAGGGATGGCGATTCTTAACGAAAAAGGTCGATTTTTAATCGATTCTAATCGTGAACTGACGAATCGATCCACAAATCTAAAAAAGGGTCTAAAACATCGATTTCCAAAAAATCGATCCGTTTTCAAATAGTTTTTACAATGTAAAATCAATCACAGTACAGAGATACAATAAGTCAAAAATTATAAACGTAACTTTTTTTATTGATGAGAGTTGAGGCGAAGGAGACTAAACATACCTACAGCCATATCGCGAGTTTTTGAGCATTAGCCGGCAGGACTCTAGTAATACGGGCCTTCAACTAATTGTATGGTTCATACCAAGACAGAAAAAATCGTATCTCGATCTTAGGATGTCTGAGATCGATTCAATGCATAGGATCGATTAAAACGATCGATTTTTTTGCTCCAAAGGATCGATTCTTCGATTAATCGATCTCAGATCGCCATTCCTATTAGCGCTTGAAGTCATTTTGGGATCAAACCTACCCCAGGCGTACCTAGTAGGTACATATTATTTATTGTTTACAAAAGTCTAAGGCATTCACGAGTTGATAAAAACATATTTCTATTAAAACACCAATTAGTATCACATGTTTTTCAATAACATCTATAACCAGTAATATCACCCTTATTACATGGAAGCTGAGTTCAAATTGCTTACTTGTATTCCGACTATCGTTACAAAAATATCTACCTCTAGTATGTAGTACATAACATGTTGAAAAATGAATAAAAAGAGGTTGAAAATAATAATAACGCCGTATCATTAATTATATGTAATAATGTATATAATAGTAACTATTTACAAATGACTCGTAGTGATGATTACAATGCGCTTATCGACCGCGTTCCTATAACGCCTATGAATATTTTTATAATAATTTATTTGTTGTGTTACCTGTAAACAAAATAATGTGATGTTAAATGTATGTGGCAATATATGATACTATCTTTTGATAGTAAAAACTGCATTTCACAAGTATGTGAATATAAAGTTTATGCTTCCATCAGCCACACATGACATGTATGTCATGATGTGGTCTTACGTATGATTATCAATGTCGTAAAAGTATAAGCTCTGAATTTGTTAAGAATACTGGGGACCTGCGGGGAATTAGCAATTATTATTAATGTTAATATTATACTCCTTCATATTAGTGAATATACCTATGTAGGCCTGCAGGCGGGGGAGTGCAGGTCCCTGTCCACGTTTCCGCTGGCGAAGCTAATGTTGAGTAGCATGGCCTCGAATGGGTCGCTGCGCATGCGCTGCTGGTTAGCCTGCGCTGCAGACCCAGAGTCACGGATGATGCGGCTCTCTTCTTTGCCATCCTGTAGGATAAACAATAAGAATTATGAAACATTATACGATAACAGCCCGAAAGACCTCGTTTACGAAGACGTCACGTCGGGCTTCCGTCGTATATTGCTCGTATGTGTTTAACATACGTAACGTAATATACGACGCGAATCCCGTGTCAACGTAAATGAGAGCAAACAGTCCACAGCTCAGATGTATTATTGATCTCCTTTAGATAAGAGGGGTTCGCCATAACGTTCACTATATAGTATATACCACGTAACGCGTTATTTATGATCATGTTCTACGTCCTAGATGGAACTATACCACTAACCGATAGAAGGTAGATTTAAAAAGTCTAAAAACTCCATATGATGACCTTTGTATCAGCAAGACATCCACTGCTGAACATAACTATTAAACATTATAACTTCAAAAAACTTATCCATTATACTAACCACACCATATACGTATGAAATCCAATTAGTAACAACCTAATCAGAACTTGGAAGGAAACTCATTAAAGAGTACCTACGAATTTCCTTGATATACAGAAATAATCATATAGAAATTGCCCATGTTCCGTTCCTTCAAAAAATTGTATATTAGAGGAATACATTACATTATAGGAATACGTTAAAACTACACTAGGGAGCTAAGAACTGAAAGCACTAGCGGTTTTCGTTGTTCATTTCGCGATAAATATTTCCTGTTATAAGTATTACATTAATTGGTAACGTACACCGTATAAAAGGCAATCTAATTACCTTTAGAATGAGAGTATTTTGTTGAAAAACTAATCATGTTTATAGAAGTAATAGAGGGTTCTTTAAAACATACGCTGTTTATTTGTGACAATTTTGTTGTTCTCCGTTTAAAAACTTTGAAAAATGGTCCTTGCATTGAAGTCTGGCTGTGGTCAGCATCAGTACTTACGCAATCAGTATGTAACAAAATAGATTCTAAACCTGAGGAGACGGGTTTGTATTCAAATTGTATATTTACTATAAGATTGGGCGCGTACAACGTGAAGTGGCTCGCCGACTTTATCTAAATCGATCATGGATAAAAAAAGTATATAAGGGGTACCTAAGGACCGGGGACCTTTGTTGGCGGACCTGGTATAGGTAGAGCACAGTACGAGAAGACGGGCTCATTGCAACCATTGCGTTACGTAACCATCGCGCCGAGGATGGCTCCAGCAACTGCTACGTGTCGAGCGGGGGGCGTTACATACTGTCCGGACTCTCCTCACTGTCGTCGTCCGACAGTGAGAGGAGGTAATAGGGAATGAAACTTAATGGCTCATAATCCAGCAACTAAAAACAAAACATTTCACACATCACTAGTGGATCCGTTTCTGGCTCCCGAGTGTAATCATCCTTGTAACACAAGTATTGGAAAATTCAGACAAAATTGACTAAAGAATCAATTTACATTTGACACCAACTAACGTTATGCAGAAGTCGGTTTAATGATGATATGATATGATGATAATGAAACGAACATTAAATAGTTAGGTAACAAAACATCACTTATACAATGAAACGAATCAAAGTATAGGAATAGGAGTTAGCTACGTCATTTCTAAGTATAAAACGTACCTAGAAATGACGTCACATAATATTTCAAATCAATATGTCGTTGAAAGTATTTTAAATAATGTACTAGACGGACATTAAAATAAAAATTAGTCATCTACTCTACTTTACAACAAAAACAAGTTGGTTAGTAAACAAAGCTATAATCCATACCTCAGGTCGTGGACTCCAGAGCCGCACCACGGTCTCGATGCCACTGGTGGCCAGCAGGAACATGGAGGGATGCAGCTGGATGCAGTTGAGGATGGAGTCGTCTCCGCGCATGCAGCGGATTATATTCCCAGACTTACGACACCAGATGAACAGGCTGCCGTCGTCCGAACTGTACGATGCGGAAAATTGTTAGTAAAGTATTTGGTTCTAACACTTTACTTCATCTTACAAGCAAACTGCTTTAAAGTGTAATGAAAGACAATAATAATCTTCTATTGGGTTGCTATAAGTATTCAATGAAATATTATAGAGCCAACTAAGCTGTGATCTTTACAATATTCGAAATGATTTGGAATAGTCATTTTGGTTCGTCAAGATTTCGATGTAAATTGAACAACGTGTGGACAAATCTCCAATATCCTTACTAATATTATAAATCGGAAAGTGAGTTTGTTTGTTCCGCTTTCACGCCGTAACTACTAAACCGTTTGCTTTAAATTTTTGCAGACGTAAAGTTAGAAGTCTGGATTAAATAATATGGTACTTTTTATGCCGGAAAAATTTGATATTCTAGAGGGAAAACGAAATTTTTGGTATAGATGGCGCTGTGTGTATTGGTATATGTCACATAGGCTACTTTTTATCCCTTTGTGACGCGAGCGAAGCCGCGGGTAAAAGCTAGTCTTATATAAAACGTTTGTTTTACCTTGGTCTTGAGGCTAAACTTTTCATACCCTTTTAAATTATCACACATAGGTACATTTACATTTAATTTTTTATACATACCCCGCAGCGATATAGTTGGCATCAGGTCCGAGGAAGTTGGCCTCCTTGATGTCGGTGGTAGTGTTGCAGTGTCCCAGTAGTCGCTGCGAGTAGTCGAGGGCGGCGCCCCGCAGTTGTCGCTCGAGGACGGACGTGGGCTGGCTGTCCTCCGCCTCCGCGGCTGCTGAATAGGGAATGTCACTCACGCACTTTACTTCGATACGAAGGGTATGTCCTAAAGTCACTTGGTTTTGATATGGGACTAATTGCAACTGTATAGTGAAAAACTATGATCAGTTTATACTTTTAGTAGGAATGATGACATAGAAAAACCAAATATAATTTTGTTCTGATTATTTCGAACCCAGAGGCAGTTGTTTGGGAGACCGGGATTACTTTCCAAGATTCAGTGTACATCAATTGTGTTACATAATGTTGGACAAAACGGTTCAGTATGCTTTAACTTAAAGTCAAATACTTTATATTTCAAGTAATTGTGACTTAATAAATCTTTAAAGGTAACAATGTCATAAAGCACTATGATCATAGCTAGCTACATCAACCATATGTGATGAATGAAAACCATCCAAACATGTATTAAAATCAACTAAAAATGACAATGAATCTTATACTATTATATAAAGCGGAAGAGTTTGTTTTGTTTGTTTAAACGCGCTAATCTCCGTAACTACAAGTCTGATTTGAATAATTCTTTTTGTTTTGGATAGCGCATTTATCGAGGATGGCTATAGGCTATAAAACATCACGCTACGACCAATAGGAGCTGAGCAGAGCGTGTCAAACCGCGAGGAAGTAGGTAGTGTACATTATAAACAACACCACGCTACCTTCATCTGGCGTAGTCTCCATGCTCTCCAAGGCGACGTTGATGTCCTTCTGCAGCAAGAAGACAGCGTGGCTGGTGGCGTGGCGAGGGAACTTGTCCTTGAAGTACAGCAGGCACTCGTGGGCCTCGCGCGCTCGCTTCAGGTCCATCAGGCCCTTCGCCAGCCGGAAGTGGGACTTCACGTGCGACGCGTCCAGCTTTATAGCCTTGTAACAGTCTTTTATTGCCGCGTATGTGTCGCCCGACCTGGAATTCAGATGAAAAGAAATAATAAAAATAGGTCTAATGGTCGTAAGTAATACACCGAGCGCGTGACCAGTGCCTTTAGCCAAACGCCACTCTAACGCTTGTCTACCGATAGAGTAGAAAACTTAATGTATGGGGATGACACTGACAAATGTCAAAATTTACGTAAATTCCATATAATTTCGTTTTCTACTCTATAAGTAGACAAGCGCTAAATGGCATTTGGCTACAGCTGCAGAATCTATACAATTTTGAAAATTGGGGGTGGAACATGAAACTTAAATATTGACAGTCACAATCAGTGACTTTTGGGTCAGTAACAGTGAGGGTAGAACTTTCGAAAGACCAGTTCTAAGGTCAGAATACCACTGTTAACCCCTTGAGCGTCCTTATGAGCCGGTGGATCATAAGAAAAAATGCTCCATGCTGCTTTCTCTTTTATAAAATGTATTATTAATGTTTTGTTTTTATTTTGACTGTATTTGTTTTATTTCTATTGTAATCATCCTTGTTTTCGTGTGCCAATGGCCAAATAAATGCATTTTCTTGCATGCATAAGGATAAGGAAATGCATAAGGAACGCGGACGCTCGACGGGTTAAAGATGTCAAACAGCAAAAATTCTACACTGGCGGCTACGAAATGTGTAATGTGTATTATTTTTCTTTTTTTATCTTCTCGAATACATTATTTACTGACCAGCCTCGCCTCATGAGCGCGGCGGCTCTGTTGGAGTAGAGTATGGCGCAGTCGGGACAGAGCGCGATGGCCTCGTTGTAGTACTCCACGGCCGTCGGGTAGCTGCCCTTGTTCACGAAGTCATTCGCCTGGAAACACAGACACCACTCATAAATAAATGTTCCGAATACATAGACTATAAACATAGGCTATGATAATGCTGTACAAGTTTACGAAAATTGCGTTTACGACTGCCTCGTTGGCCGAGTGATAGCAAGTGCGACATGATATAGAAAAGCCAAGCCAGTGAAGTGGTTTCGGGTTCGATTTCCGGGTCGAGCAAAATGTTACTGAGTTTTTATAAAAATCTCAGTAGCAGCACGGAGTCTGGAATAGGGTATTCTCATCTATCAACGCGCAAACAATGAAATTAAGAAGCCGGCCAACATATTGGTAGTCCCTTACACAGCCCGTATGGACGTACACAATTTAATTTTTGAAATTACTTTTGTTGGCATTTTATCTCTAAAAACAGTTTTAAGTTAAATTAAAGAATAAATGTGTTAAAGACAGGATATAAAAATCCTCACCATTTCTTTAAGTTGCCTGACGCGGTCAGGTAGTTGTGGCGGTGGTGGCTGAGGGGGGGGAGTGGTTCCATTGGTGCCATTCCTCAGCGGCTGCTTGGCGTCCGAGGTTCTATTCCCGTGGTTGTGCTGGATGATGAAGCTCTCCACCAAAACCGGCCGCCGTGCTGCGTTTATGTCGAATATGTATATCTGGAAACAGAAATATCATCATGAGAATTGTAAGCTATTTTGTTGTCACTATGTTTGAATGTAAAAAGATAAACCCTTTAGTTTTAATTGAGACAATTTTCCATGTGTAGTTGTTTAAATGAATAAATAGAAAATAGAAATGACACTGCATAACCCAAACATTAATTTGAAGCTTCATAATAAAATATAGTAGCTAATTAGCTATTGCTATGAAACAAGTTACAAAATGATAATAAACACCAACGATGAACACCCATGTTCGGTAGTAATTTTAGATCAGCAGCAATTGGGTAGTTTCCAGGGTATCAAAATTAAAAATATATTTAGCCCGTCAGTTAGATAATTAAAAAATATTAGACACGTATTTTTTTTATTTTCTCATATAAGTTGCAATACTTAGATAAAACGGCGCTAAGTTAAGTAGTGAGAGGTCGTTACGTCATAACGTTCTACAAAATGTGGCACACTGTGACGTCATACGATATTTAAAATTCATATATCGTTGAAAGTACATATTTAATTTTGTAGGAAAAGAAAAAATACGTGTCTAAAGTTTTAAATTAATGTACCAGACGGTCAATAAAATAAAATGTAGGAAATCTAAACTATTGCATTGAGCAAACGTGATCGTGGTGATTGATGCTCCATCCATTTCCGTGCGAAAAAGGTCTTAGGTCAGCAGTGGCGGCTTATAAAATCAGTAACAATGTCTCTGTGTACCTGTTCGGAGCCGAGGTTGACGAGCAGTTCGTTCCCATCATTACTGAATGCTACGTATGTCGTAGCCTTCTTAGGGAACGTGTGCTCATTCGGCTCCATTGAGAGGTGGCCTGAAAATATAAATTATTTATTAAAATACTGCTACATAAATATTACAGCAAGGTCATTAATATTCTGCACGGTTGGCACTGTACTGACTGAAATCATAATCAATCTTTCAATCTTTCAATCTATCAATCTTTCAATTCATCAGTGTGATAATCTTTCAACATGTAAAATCTTCAAATTTTTCTATCTGTCAATCGTACAAATCTTTCAATTGTTCAATCTAGCAATATTTCAATTTATCAATAATTTAATCTAGCAATGCTTCAATCCAATGCTATCGACCTGTGTTAAATCAACAATCTTTCATTCTTTCAATCTGACAATTATCATTATCAATCCATCAATCCATCATTACATCAGTCGTCAGCGAGTCAGTTAGAAGCCGTTGCAGAAGCAAGTAGTGTATATTATGTGTAAGGTAGGTACCGGGCGCGAAGTAGTGCACGGCGGCGCGCGGGATGTTGTTGTCGGGGTCCCCGTGTCCGGCGCGCGAGCAGCGCATGTTCTGGCGCTCCCACATCTGGCGCGACGCCGGCCCGCTCGTCTGCGGGGCCACACACTACGAGTACTCACTCTTTGATCACATAATCCAACTAAACCACAGTTTATAACGTACAAAGGATAAGATTTCTGATGATGCGAACATATTGTTCAATTTCATGGACCTTATACATTGATCTCTTGTATATTAATACATAGTATATTAGGGTACGATGGGACTGATATACACTGTGCGTTATAAAAGTCCATACAATACAATACATAAAAAAGTAATAAGCTAAGTTCAGGGTTATTTTATTGAGGTGGGATAATCATCCAATGACTTCTCCCGCCTTAAGTGAGGCAAGAGAGTGTGTCAGGATGTTACTGACTTAAAACAACCCCCTTTCTACTCCTTCAATTCTCAGCTCCATTAATCCGTTAAGTTGTCCACAGATCCAGTTCAACTAATTCAGGTTTAAGGTATCATTGGAAACAAAACAAACTGAATCAGACCTCAAGCTAAATTACTATAAGTTTATAATACTTTACATGAACAAGATACCATTGTAGATTATCGAAAAACATTTAATTAATTTAACTTAAAACAAAACTTGCAAAAATATTAGTTTATTACCTGTAATCTAGCCAATTTGATCATCCTAGTATCGTAGAGCCGTACATAGAAGTCGTTGGCTCCGACTGCGAGCTGATAGGGACGGCGGGGGTTTACAGCAACGCATTTAGCCTCAGCGTACCGTCCTAAGTGGTTCAGTAAGTTCACGAGCACGTTGGCTGAGTCTGGGTTACAGCTGTGTGACATGCGCAAGTCATGTTGCCTGGAGACAATGTTCATTTTGTTAGTTTCATTATGAAGTGGAAATCAAACTCAAAAACATTTATTTCAATTAAACCATAATTTGGTTAACTTTTGAACATAACATAACATAACATAACATCACGCCTTTTATCCCCGAAGGGGTAGGCAGAGGTGCACATTATGCCACTGTACAATGTAACACCCACTTTTCACTATTTATGTTATGAGTCCCATGTAATAGGGGGTGAGCTTATTGCCATATACCGGGCACAATTCCAGACTCCGTGCTACTACTGAGAATTTTTAAAAACCCCAGTAATACTTTGCTCGACCCGGGAATCGAACCCGAGACCCCTTGCCCGGCAGTCGCACTTGCGACCACTCGGCCAACGAGGCAGTACTTTTGAAATGTCAACAAATATGAAATAAATAATAGTCTGTCAGTCTGTCCTTCAGTGAAGCTAGGCGCTCATTCCAAAATGTCGATTCGAGTGGAGAAGAACGAGCAAGAAACTCCATTCGTAACTCTTTTAAAAAAACGTCTGTTTTACACTGCTCTGATATGAAATGCAGGTCTAATAAACTTTCCATCTAATTGTAAAGAGTTTTGTGTGTTTTTTGTAGATGGTTTCTGTAGTCTTGGTGCTTCCTGTCATCGATGCTCGTACGACAAATAAGTAACTAACATTTATGGCTAACCGTAGCTCCTGAAGAACGAACATAATAATAGGTATCCTGTGTAACTCTTCTGTAATTAGGTTTTTTCCTCTTCAGTGGGTAATTACCATATATTAAAGACTGGAATTATCTTAATTCTATCTATGTACTCTAAAATGTCGTGGTGACCCGGAGGTTTAAGACGCCCACTTCTCATGCATGAGGGTGCGGGTTCGAAACCTACCAACGGCAAGTACCAATGTCACTTTTTCCGAGTTATATGTACTTTCTAAGATTATTTAGACACCACTGACAAACGGTGAAGGAAAAACATCGTGAGGAAACCTGGACTAATAATTTCTAATTATAAGTTTGAAATCGCCAACCCGCATTGAGCAAGCGTGGTGATTAATGCTCTAACCTTCTCCGTGTGAGAAGAGGCTTTGCTCAGCAGTGGGCATTTATAGGCTGTTGATGATGATCTATGTACTTACAATACAAGTCCGTCTTCCCCGGCAGACCACAGTAGATGTGGGTTGTCAGGGGCAGTGGCGAGGCGCTTGACTCGTGCGCAGTGACACACGCACTCCAGGAGCGGCGCGTTGGAGTTGACGCTGCGTGCGCGAACCGTGCCGTCCGCCGCGCATGTTGCTATCACGTCCGGGGATAGGAACTGAAGGGCAGAAATATTGGGAATAACAATTAGTTATTAGTGTAATATTGTAAAACGACATGAAGTTTTTTATTTTATGGAAGTGGTGAAGCAGTCACTGAAGACTATGGCATCTAAAATACTAGATGTGTTGATCAATTAGGAGTTTGGGGATCGTTGGGGATTCAGGAATTGGGGAGATTGGGGAAGAGGAGGGTCATTGGGCCTCCGGTAACCTCACTCACACGACGAAACACAACGCAAGCGTTGCTTCACGTCGGTTTTCTGCGAGGCCATGGTATCACTCCGGTCGAGCCGAAGCATTCGTGCCGAAGCATGGCTCTCCCACACTTAAAACTTACTTAGATCTTACACTTATGCCTACATACAACACTCACGCACAAAGGTCTGAGTACAATTACTCCCTGCAGTGACTACAATTGGTATCGAGGCGTGAATTGCTTGTGAATGGTTGTAGATTTAGTAATTGGCATGTCACTTTGTGCGCCTGTCATGTTGCTATACTGTACTGCATACTGTGACGGGCAGTGCTCACTAATAAGCTGAATGACCTGCGAAACTTTACAAATACACTCACTTCGCGGTATTTAAATCGTTTCTTTATAGTATTTAACTCTTTGAGTACTGTCATTATAGACACAATTAAAGAACAATAGGTTGCAGTCACCGGTGTCGTCGCGGTGTTTGACAGTTTAAGTATATTTTCACGACTTATAAACCTAAACTTTTGTAGAGAATCAATACTAAACACTAAATTAATTATTATGTTTTCGACTTACTCACTTAATTATTTGACGAGGAACTCGACTAGTTTCAAGGTATGCTAGACAGGAGCAATGCGACAGTCGCCCCGTCGCGGGTTGCGAAATGCTGCTCATGAATATAAGCCTCTAGCATGGTTTGAAACTAGTCGAATAATTACGTGAGGAAGCCGAAAACATGATAATTAATTTACAATGTCTCACGAAAGTTATAATACAAATTCTAAATACTATTTTGGTTTCATGTGAAGAGACTGTTGTTGTTTACAACTAGACACAAAACCAACGACCTATTTTTAAAATTGGGTATTTCCTCAGTATATAGAAATGAATAAGTACCTACATATACTCGGTGTGAATCAGGCATAGTCGGAAAATGAAAACTATTGAACTTATTTATGTGGGAGGCGTTAGGATCAGGGCACGTAAATATTATAAAAATGGATTTTTGTGGTTCTAAGACAAACTTTTAAATAGGGTAGATACTAATTTTTATTTTAATGTCCGTTTGGTAAATTATTTAAAAACATTAGACACGTATTTTTTATTTTCTTACGGAAACGAATAGTTTCAAAGATATATTGATTTGAAATATCGCATGACGTCACTTTTGAGTACGATTTATACTCTAAAATGACGTAGCTACCTCCCACTCCAAAATTTTGGTTCGCTTTATCTAAGAACTGTTTTCTTATACGACAAAATAAAAAATGCATGTCTAATATTTTATCATTACCTACGGACTAATTGTCACTGGACGGTAAATGCCACGTCAAAGCCACGCTGTAGTTAGGTGGCAAGCTAGTTAAACACAAAGAATGAAATACAACAATAGTAGGTAGGTAATATCATGAAATTCTGTTCAGCATTTCTTGAGTTTAAACTATCATGAGTCTGTGCCAAATTAAGTCATAATTTGTTACTTTGTTTTGTAAGGCCAGAATAGGTACTAAGAAGTATAAAGCAAAACAATAAACAAAGAGGTATTTTATAGTTAAAATTAAAACCATTGGTTTACCCCTTATTACGTGGTACTCATAACATAATGGTGGACAGTATTACCTACATAATATAAATGCATAAAAATATGCATCTCTGCCTAAACTTTTAAGAATTAAGATGTGACGTAATTTGTCATGGGATACGACATTTTGTAATAACCCCAATAGGGTAATATAATATACTTAATTTTATTTAATGTCCGCCTGGTAGAGTATTTTACAACATTAGAAACGTATTTTTTCTTTTCTTACAAAATTAAATACTTTCGACGATATATATTGATTTGAAATACCGTGTGACGTCACGATTTTACTACATTTTATAGGAGAGCGTAACGTAACGACCTCCCGCTCCTGAACTTAACTCCGTTTATCTAAGTATTGTTTTCTTATACCTACGACACTATAAAAAATGTGTCTAATATCTTTTCATTATCTAACTGACGGATTAATTACCTATATTTTTAATTTTCATACACTGTCTACTAACCTATTCAGAAGTACCTTTTCAACAAGCATGAACTTTTGTGCATTAATGAAAAGTTCATGTACGGCATAATAATGTCTTTATGCCACACAAAGTCTAGAATAAATAAATAAAAATATGTCCATCATAGTTTCAACCACAAAATGTATGGACCACAATGAATTGTTTATTAGGTAACCAACAAAGATGGGTAAACAATATTATCAAAACAATTAGGTTAATTATTGCTTACATTAAAATTAGGGAAAAACCAACATGCCTAATGTCTCATAATACCATTTCTTAAGCATAAAGATTATAGAATGGTAAATAATATAACAAATAAGTGTTATAAGTAAACAACAAAAACAAGCATGACTTGCTATCATTAATGCTATAAAACAGTGGAAATATCTAGACCTATAATAACAACTAAACATGGAAATCATATTTGCTCTAGAAGTAACTAACAAATGTTTTAAGAAGGTTTTGTATTTAAACAAATATCTGCATTGGCATTGACGGATAAATCCCCAAGCAGTGACCACTCTCCACTAACACCATTATAGACCTTATTTCCGATGTTTAGACACTACTTTTATATGAACAAATTATGTGGATTAATATCAGATGATTGTATATGAGTTCATAAAAAAAATTAAAAACAAATGTTTGTAATTTGTATGAAAAAAAAAAGATTCTCTATACTTTTTTTAAGCTTCTATCCAATTACACAATAAATTGATTCGACAGCTGAGATACTTAACTTTTTTTTATCAGTTTCCATTTTGACATAATAATAATAGTAGAGACGACGACAACAAGCGACCCTGCAAGCTAACACTACCCCGAGTGCTCCAGGGAGAAGTCACCGTTTTTTATACTCCGGCTTGCCTTAATTGGCTGGCTGGAGTGAACTATCAAGAGACAGGTCTCCCACCTTTGGCTTGCCTTCATTGGCCGTCCAGAGTGGAGTCGCTAGAGTAGGGATGCTGCTCGGAGGGTAGGAAACTGTTGGTGTTGGTGTAAGTCGCGAATAGGCAAGGGATGCAGGAGGCTTTGGTTGGAGCAGATGATCTGAGTAGAAAGCGGTGGTAGTTTCAGATTCCCGTTATCCCTTTGTTGCTTTACTTAGCAATTCCACCTGCCTTTTTAATGTGTAATAATTACATTGTTTCGACAGATGCCATAGGCATCCATAGTTCCCTGTTTACCAGTCCACAGAAAACCCATCCATAGCCCTACCTTTTTCTAAGGGCCTCTGTGCAGTTGGCTTCGGCCCTTCGTATGCCTCCCAAATTACTGGGACCATGTGGTCTCATGAATGGTTAAGACATACATAATAATAGTGATAACAATAATAATTATGTTTATATTACATTGTAGTCTTACTCATTATGTTACAGCTATATTAGTTTAATGCATAGTCATTATTTTGTGATAAGGAGTAATAGACCTATTTTGGAACAGAAGCATATTATTTTTTGTGTAATATTTTGTGGTCTAGTATAGGTACCTAGTTCTTTATTTGCTTGGGTTTGTTTTAATTTGAGTTTTAAATAGAGACTTTTTCTTAATATCATAAGTGTTCTACTGTTTACTTCATACCAGTAAATACATTTTATAATAATATTTCCTCACCTTTACAGAGAATATGTTCCCAGTATGTCCAGTTGCTATGTTCATAAGCTCTTTGTAGCGGAAGGGATCCCACAGCATGACATGAAGGTCGTCAGAAGCTGATGCCAGGATTCTAGAATTTTAATCATTTATGTTGTACTACCTACAGATATAAAACAGATTAAAGATTATTTTACAACACTTACGATCCATCGTGGTTCCACTCCAGGCAATTAACACATCCCATATGCCCGTGCAGCTCCTTCTCCAGTCCCAATCTGTCGATCATAGGTCGGGTCACCGTAAGCCGACTCTGAAACTTTCTATCCACTTCCCCACGCTCCCTCGCCGCCAGCAGCCCCACGGTGCCGCTGGCCCAAGCGGGGTCCTCTCTTCTGCCCATTTTCGCGTAATTATTCGTCATATGTCTGATCAACCATCACAAACATACAATTCGTCAAACTAACTGCGGCTCAATCTATTTATAGTGTTACACATCTTACTTCACATTACTATGTGTTGCACAGAAATATACTACTAAAATAATCGTCAATTCAATGCGGAATACACAATGAACAAACAAATACAATCAACAAAAAGCTTTATTCTCGACGAGAAGATATTTCTTACGAAAATAAAAGAGGGACTGTCAAACAGCTGTCACCGAGTTGCCAGCATTTTCTTTTCTTTTAGTCTATGTCTAGAGCTTATCAATTCTTGCAGGTTTTGATCCCATAATTGACCTATTTGTTACTTCTATTTTAAGTTTTAGTTTGTTTAGATACTGTGCATTACTTTCAACTATAAACCAGGTAATTATGAGTTCTATAAAACACTCAATGTAATATATTTTCCACTGACTTACAAATTGATTTCTTAAATTTGTAAGCTGTGGTTTAATTACATTTTTAATTGATATCAGTGTTGCCAACCGTACGATTTTCATTTCATTCCATATATTTTGACATATTTGACAATTCACAATATATACTGGAGATCATTTTGTTGATTAATGATCGTGTGATTTGTTTCACTCACATTGTGGAATATTCGCATACAAAACACAATTTTATAAAAATTTAGGCGACGAGGTGGCCCTATAAGATTGACATTATTTAGCAGGTATTTACTATTCTTATAATAAACCAGAAAGTACTCAAAACTTGATAGTTACTCATTATGTAGATTGCCTAATAACTTTGTTTATAATTGTATTACTTAACATAATTGTAACCTTTTTATCATCCAGTCATCCTTACAGGCTAGAAAATGGGTGAGCGCAAAGGACAGAATCTGTATTATCCCCCCGACTATGACCCTAAGGTCGGGGGGCTAAACAAATTCATGGGCACACATGCATTGCGAGAAAGAGCCAGGAAACTTCATATGGGGATCCTGATCATCCGTTTTGAGATGCCCTACAACATCTGGTGCGAAGGATGTAAGAACCACATTGGAATGGGAGTCAGATACAACGCTGAGAAGACCAAAATTGGAATGTACTACACAACTCCGGTGTATCAGTTTCGAATGAAATGTCATCTATGTGACAATCATTTTGAAATAAAAACTGATCCAGGGGTATGTCCACTTACTTGTTATATTTAAAATGCTTTGCTTTCATGTACAATTAATATCAAAACTTCTTCTAAGCTATTGTTAGTTAAAGTCATGATTAATCTAATTTCATCATTACCATTTTCAGAACTTAGACTATGTGATAGTATCAGGAGCAAGAAGGCAGGAAAATCGCTGGGACCCTACAGACAATGGCCAGATTGTACCGGAAACTAAGGAGGCCCAAAAGAAACTATTTGATGATGCTATGTTTAGACTGGAACATAAGACTGGAGATGAGGAAACTGCTAAACTTGATAACCCAAGGTTGGGGAGGCTGGTGGGGAGGAATGAGTCTGTGTGGAAGGATGATTATGAAGCTAATTGTTCCTTGAGGAGGAACTTTAGGGTAAGTCACACATTTAAGAAGATTGTAGATAATTTTACTGTTTTTAAGATTAAAAAGTCGATTAAGTTCACTTAACATGTTGATATATTGTACCGAAATTTTATTCATACAAAAGTAGTCTCTAAACATTGGAAATATGATCTATAATGGAGTTAGTCGAGAGAGGTCACCTATGACTGCTTGGGATTCAGCAGTTGAAGGTTGATAATTGAATTGAAATTACTGATCAATTACTTTATAAAACAAGATATTTAAGTTATACATACATTTAAAAATATTGCATACTTAATCATTTGTATATCTCTATTACAGAAGAGAAGAAAAGAACTAGAAGAATCATCAGTCAATGACAGTCTACTGCTAGCTAAATCTTCTCTTGACATAAGTCTTCTACCAGAGAATGAAGATGACAGAAACATGGCGTCTCTCCTCTCCCTACGACCTTCAAAGAGTGTAGAGGAATCCCAAACTCAAACTAGAAGTAAGATCCTTAATACACCTGCTTTGCCAAGTTCCACTGGATTACTGACCAGCTTTGGAGGACTCAAAAAAGAAGAATCATTGTCTAAAAGTACTTCACTTACTAGACAAGGCCTAGGTATTACACTTAAAAAGAGTAAAATTCAAAATAAGAATGGTACAGATAATAAAATAAGTGAGACTAAAGAGGATTCCAAATTAGAACAAAAACTTATTACTGAAAGTAATGATTTAAAAGATAGCATTAAAATAAATAGTGAAGTTCCTAATGTTCCTAATAAACATGAGAATGATGACAAAGTAGACCAAAAGAAGATAGATATTTTAAATATTAAGAAAGATGAAGTCAAGAATACTTGTGCTAATAATATTGCCGTAGACAAAGTAGATGCTAAAAATGTATCCTTGGTTGGAGATTACAGCTCTAGTGACGACAACTCTGAGTAAGTCTATGGGACTTTAATAATAAAAGACTTTAAGTCTATTATTATGCTCACAATTAAATGGTCTACTAGTCATCTTTTTTATTTTAGATTTCTATTATTAAAAGAACACCAATATACAGTCTATTGATTGATTAACTGGATATTATAGAGACCATTGTTTTTACTGTTTTTGTAAAGGCCATTTTATACAAGTAGGAAAAAGTACTTGTGAATGTTACAGCTCTGTTATTCTTCTGCATAAGAAGGTATGTTATTTTTTTTGTAAAATATTGTAGAATAAACTAAATGACCAAACAATAATAACATTAAAACTATTTTATATGACAAAAAACAAATCTATGTCTAAATGACTGCTAGATTAACGCGGTGGCTGAGCAACTGGCTGCCGCGCAACATGTCGCGGGTTCGATTTTCGCACGGAACAACTCTTTGTGTGATCCACAGATTGCTGTTCCAGGTCTGGGTGGCATGTGTATGTGAACTTGTATTTATATATTTGTAAACGCACCCACGACACAGGAGTAAACCCTAATGTAGGGCAACGTTTTTTTTTTAAAAAAAAAGAAAAGAAATGATGATAATATTTAAACAAAGACCTAAAATAATTTATCAAATTACCACCTAAATTAGGATATTGCATATTACATATATTTTATTATTATAAGTATTTTAGTATCCATAGTCTGCCTACCACCAAGGGAGACAGGAGGTTATGTATGTTTGTATGAAAAAGGAAGATTGTCGTAAGAAGATATAATTGTTACATTTATATGAAAAAGAGCATCTGATGAATTATATCAGTATAAATATAGTATAGTCATTGTGGATAAAATTAGATCAACTGCTTAATGATGAACCATACCCTAAAGTCTAAAAACACTTGACACCTGGAATACCAGAAGTGTTTCAAGTGCGTTTTCGGCCTATTGGGATTAGGAATTTTAGGATTGTTGGGGATTCAGGGATTGGGGGGTAATTAAGCCTCTGGTATCCTCACTCACACGACTAAACACAACGCAAGTGTTGTTTCACGTCGGTTTTAAGCCATGGTAATGGTCGTATAAGTACAAAGGTACTCTGACAGTTTCTAACATTGATAGCAAGTCATCTAATTTTACCCAGAATAACTATATTCCAAATGTTATTAATATTTATTACCTAAAATAAAAGACCCAAACATCAGAACCACGTTTTATTTTCCATTTAAAAAACATTCAGTTTCATGATTTTGATTTTTTTTAACTTTCGATGTAAGCATGTATCTTAACTTGCGATGGGTGAAGCTACTATGTGGCCTGTTAAATGATAATGAAACATTAAAGGCTCCTTCAAACATTCCCAAAAAATATATAAACGATTTTTCTTATTACTGGCAACACTGGCCTAAAAATGACTTTGGCAACACTATATGGTTTTTATTTGAATCTCGCTCACATTTTAATACTTTTAAACGAGATGGAGTATGATATATTTTAATTATTCCATGACTAATAAATGGGCATTAAATTCCTAGAATATTGAAAGATGATTTAAGAAATGAATGAAGGAGCCAACTAAAATATAGTTTGTGCAACATGACAACAATTCTGTCTACATTAAAACATTTAGGACACACAAACAATTATTAGTATGGACACCGAAAATTCAAAGACATTTATTATTTTGACGCCCTAACGGCAGAGATCAGAATACTGGTAGGTAAATTATAAACCTACTCTAACGGCAAAATGATTACACGTATTTCTTTACTAGCTACTCCCGCGAAGTTTAACGCGCTGCTCGGCTCCTATAGGTCACATCGTGATGTATTATAGCTTATAGCCTTTCTCAATAAATGCACTATCCATCACAAAAATAATTATTCAAATCGAACCAGTAGTTCCCGAGATTAGCTTCAAACAAACAAACTATTCAGCTTTATATGTATTAGTAATATAGATAACAAGCTTACGTACTAAAGCTTAAAGAACGATACATAAAACAATATAAATATTCAATTTAATATGAAAATACTTTAACATTTATTACAATATCAGTGAGTACTAAATTAATTAGGCAATGAAATTGCACAGTTTATTATAATTTGCGCTAGATGACGACACATTTGTCGGCCATTTTAACTACAATTCGTTTATACGACACCCAAGTTACAGATCACGACAATTAGTTTATTAAATTTACCTTGTAATTAGTATCCACTGCATCGATAATTTCTATCCAAATAGCAATTATGACGATATGACCAAAAGCTGATTTACATGAAGTTATCTTATTAAATCAGTTGCATTGAAAATAAGTAAATCCGCGTGATTTGGCTTTAAATATACTTAAAAGTAAATTAAAATAGGTGTACGCAAAAGCTGACTAGATATTGAGATCAAAAAATATGAATATGAATTTAATAGGTAAAAATATTTTGTTTTTTAAATTATTGTCGTTACAAAACAGACTTAAAGGCTTCCTGATGGTCTGATATGTCCCCTGCATAATTCCAAACAGAAATTGATGAATAAGAATAAATTATAGAATTATTAGTAACACATCATGAATGAGGTGATTTTCATATAGATAATGTACAAATATCACTGTTTTTAATATATTCTATGCATAAACAATTTTTATAAACACCTATTTCAATTTGGCAGAGGGAATTTTGCCTTTGTCATTTAGTTTTCTGTTTATAAACAATTTGGGAGCTATCCATTAACTCTAGGTGGCGCCACTGGCACTTCTGCTGATTCATAGACAAGACAATATTTATTTCATTCTATTTATGCCTCTAGTGATACATCGTTCTATAGCGCCCCCTAGTGATAAGCCCCCGGTTTTAGACAATGTCGATAATAAAATGTTTTCTTAAATTGTATTAGTTACAAATTGTCTATTTAAGTATTAAATACGTACATATAATGGTAGATACAGTTAATCCCATATCAAAGATATTATAGTTATTAATTTCCGAAAGTTCTAACGTAGTGTGAATGAGATTTGTCATTCAAATTATAACACTTAAATCTGAAGAAATAAAGATCATGTTCTCCAAAACTTTCTGATGGGCAATTAACTGTATCATGAATATATGGGTACCTATAAATCAGTGTACATAATAAATTTAAGGCCAATAGACGATATAATTACTCAATATTGATTTTAACCGTCCTTTAATGAAGTCCAACTTCCATTATTAAAATTATTTCAAAGTTATCATTGAAAAATGAACTCTAAAAGTAATTAAATAAAGTAAGTTTCGATTAATCTGTAGAGATCTCGTTTTTGGCCTTATTCTAGTTTATTTCTAGTCAGTAGAGATGCATCTCTTGTCTTCTAACGCCAGGATGAGGGCGCACTCAATCTTGGAGTGCAACCAGGTCAGTACCTCCGGGTCTGATACCTCTATCACCTTTTCGTCCGTTGAGAAATAGTTTACAAGCTCGTCCTGAAAATAAAGGAATATTTTAGATTAGTAACAAAAATGTACCGACAAAAACTGTTACTAAGGGGAAAGCGACAAGGGACAGTTGGGGTATTAATAAGATAGTGTTTTATTGATACTTATTTCTGCAATATTTAAACATAAGAGGATAGGAAAAGCAAGTAACAAACAAACCGAGTGTTGATAGAAAGAAGAGGACAATAAAAAAAGATTGTGAAAGAAGAAGAAACTGCCTTTTCTCATATGACGGGAGAATATAAATAAGCTTAATAATATTGTACCCAATTTAAGTAATTTACGAGAAAGGCAGACAGTAAAGAACACAAAAACTGTAGAAAGAGATATTTTGGAAGACACCGTCCCTCGTCTTTTTCTTTTAGGAAACTGAAGAGATATTTTGGAAGACACCGTCCCTCGTCTTTTTCTTTTAGGAAACTGAAATTTATACACACCTGTTTAATGTTAAGCAGCAGTTTGTCTCCATGCACTATGGGGGAGCCGATGACGTCATCCAGCTTCACTGCCCATTCCACGTGCCAGGAGCCGCTGGTGCCACTCGCTCGGACCATGAATATATGTCTGGAGAAATATCAACATTAAAATGAAGCGTACATGTCCAAAAACGGAAGCTTATGTCGATCCGGAGATTAGGTGCATGCAAAATCAGACACCAAGCTATGAATCGAACTCAAGGCCTCTTGCACAGTTGCAACCGACCTTATGAGCATAAGTTTAATTAAAAAATAATACGCACTGCGTAGATATAAGCAGCGTGCAATTGGATGTAGGTCCCAGATGCGCATGCGCAATGTATGCGTCAGTGTCGGCGTAGTGGCCCCGTCCCAGCAGCGTCAGTAGCTGCAGCCCCAGTGCAGCGTGCTGGGAGAATGGTCGGACTCCCTGATACACAATACAAAAAAATGTGATTAAAGATTCAGAATTATTATTAGCCTTATTGAGCTTCAATGACAGTAAGTTGAAAGAGAACTCTTCAGAAGCTTTCGTTATAGACTTAAGTAACGCGGAGATGTAAAAAGAAAGTAAAATCTGCATCACTACATAGCATAAAATAAAGTCGCTATCCGCTGTTTGTCTGTCACTATGTATGCTTAAATCTTTAAAACTACGCAACAGATTTTGATGCGGTCTTTTTTAATAGATAGAGTGATTCTTAAGGAAGGTGTACATGTATAATACTACATGCATATTGCACCCGTGGGAAGCCAGGGCGGGTGGCTAGTTAAGTATAATTTCCAACCATATATTTTTTTGATATTATTTGTTGATTTGACCAAGGCAGTTCAAAAACAGACATTTGAACAAACTTCTTAGTTTGAGCACTTACTTCAATAGGATCACAATGCCGTGGCAGTCGGCGCCGCGCCAGTAACCGACCACCACTCCGTTCCACGCAGGCCTTCAACGCGCTCTCCGCGCTGCTGACGTTCAGCTGCCGAGACAGAGATGCACGGGCTGCCTCGCGACATACATCTGAGATGTAACAAAATAAGGGAAAATTAGATTTATACATCGTCGCCATTTCATTATCCATTACTGTCTTCTTTATTTATCTAACTAAAGCTATCGATCGCACTTTATTACGGTGCGGTGCGACTGGGATTGCAGGGTTTAATTACCTATATATAGTATATTGTCATTCCTCGGGAGGGGAGATAGGTATTTAACGAAAACAGAGTCCGAACCCATAGTACATTTTTCGCTAGTGGTGCCACCTACTAAGTGCAAAATTGAGAAACAGTATTACATTTCATTAATCCTTCTAGTTCCTAGTGATACTATTGTTTCCCTTTTTGCAAATATATAACTTTCACAAACTTGTGCTTCAACTCAAGTGTACTCTTAATTCCTTTACTCAGTTTATCGTGAATAGAGCCTAACGGTGCCTGTATAAATATAAAAGTGTCAGTTTCCTACGTGACCATAGTGATACCTACTTTATTCACGGTTTTAAAAGTCGTAGTATCTATAATTATTTTTATACTATAGTTATATTTTACCTGTATTGTACTGCTGCCTATAAAATTACTATATCTTATTAAGCCATGCTTCGATATTAAAAGCTAATGACGACGACGAAATTAATAAGCTTTCTTAAATCGACCGTACTTTTTCTACTTCTAGATTGAACCAAGAATTGTGGATCAAGATCGCTTATTAATTTCGGCCGTTTAAATAAATATTTAACACAATGATCGTGCACTATGGTACTCACTTCTCACAACGACACAGTCGTCATCTGACCGCAGAGCAGAACAAACGAGAAACAATATTAACAAACAGGTTCTATACAACATGGATAATTAAATATTACATACATAAGTATGTGCCTAGATAATAGATATAATTATGTTAAACATAATAATAAACAGTAAGTATGTAGACAATAAAAACACGAAAACGTCAATGTAAAAGTTATTTTTGAAATTACAATCATGCTTGTTATCTACTACTTACTAAAATTAATATCACACAAATTGATTGATTAGTTGTAAATGTATATCATAAAAAATCCATGCTCAATTGAAATGGATGTTGAAAGATTGATTGACTGTAAAAATTGATTCTCGCTTAAAGTTACCATTATGGTCCTGCAGAATTCAGAATGCTAAATAACTTTATAGGTACCTACTCGTTTAGCTTTTCATCAATTGATATATTATGGTACCGAAAATCGCCAAAAATTCGTTCATTTAAAAGTAGTCTTTAAACATCGGAAATAAGGTCTATAAAGAAATTGATCTGAACAAAATATTAAATTTTAAGAGAATCAATTTTTACATAATAGACAATGAACAGAACTGTCTCTATAGAAACACTTGATAAAAATAGTTGAAGAAAACATCTGAATACGAAATATAAATGAAAACTCACCAAATGTTGGCCTAGCGACGAGAGCTGTGAGAGCGAGTGCGATACTGGCTTGATTACTGCTGTCTCCTTCTATCACACTCTCCGGGATATCGTTGCTCAGTTGAGGAACTTCTCCTGAAAGCAAGAAAGCAAGCTCTTGGATTGAATGAGGAGTATCATGCATAGAGTTTATTTGCACGACACAAAAATCGTCAAATGTGAAATATCGTCAAATTCATAGGACATAGCTCTAAAAATCTGCAAACTGTTGCACACATCACTCGAACTCGACTGTTGATCTATATCACTCACCTGGTTTTCTTCTTGGCGTCTGTGGTTTAGGCAGATCATCAAACATGGCACTGGTCCTTGTAGTTGGGCTCGCTCGCAGTCCTAGTAGGGCTGCTGCTCCGTCCTCCAGGCGTGAGGCTACATCCATGATCTTACGGCCTAGAGCCGTACCCTAAATGGAATAAACTTACGTCTTAAGGAAACTTATGGGAAATAGTGACTGTTCTCAATATGGCTTGGTAAAACTGTTGGTTATTGTATATCGATTGGAAAATAACATTTATATCTCACCATACAAGGTTCATAATACTGCTTTAGTCCTCTAGAGAAGTCTCCAATGTGGCTATACGGATTCCCCAAGATATTGAGCCCGAGGACCAGGACATAGAACTGCTGCACCAGCTGTGTCCAGTAGTGCTGTGAGGCTTGCTCCACCAGGGTTGATGTGGTGATGGGAGCGTTACGGAATTCCAGGTATGACATTCTGAATAAAGGTAAATAATGATATCAATGAAAGTCTTTGATTGTTTGTTTCAAAAAGTTATAGTTATTGGTAATTAATTATGGATAAATGAATTATTTCTTGGCTCTGACTTAGGTTAAACCAATCTATGCTCAAAAGGCGAGTAAAATCGAAGACATACCGAATTTCATAAACGACGAATAAAATAAGAAATAATGATGTAGCATGACCCAGCACTATCTAGCGATGTGATAGCTAAACCAATCACAAAACAATACAAATAGAGTGTGTTTTGTTTGTATAACATTCACAAGTTTCGCAAGTTACTTTGCGGTGAATTTTCGGAAGTAAGAGACTATGAACTCTAACACAGAGAAAGACATGTGCGTCATAGTTCAAAACTAAATCGTATAGGTAATGAGATGATCGAATGAATAACTATTTTCACTTACTTTATAACCACGTCCTTCATGTCACACAACGAGGATCCCCAAGAATTGAACAAATACTCCAAGAGATCACTGTTGAACAGTTTAGGCCTATTTTCTTTTTTGTTCCCGAACCTTGTCTTGCTGGGACTATTGGCCGACTCTGCAGAATATCCTCGAGATGACAAACTCAGCACCAGCTTCACTGGAGACAGGTGAACGTATTCAAAGAACACGTTCTTCTGCGTAATAACCTGGCTCTTCATTGCAATCACTGGTAATGGCATGTGGACTAATGCAAGGTCAGCTCGTAACCTCACAGCTGGCTTCTCCTGAATCTTCCAGTGGTTTAGGATATCAAAGACATAATTCACAAAACCACGATCCAAGTTCACACAGTACTCTTGAACTAAGATCTTGACGTATTTGTACACGTCCTGATTCAAACTTGGTCGGTGCTGCTTTAGAGCAACTATTTCTACGCAAGGTTTTAAGCCTTTACTTGTTCTGATATCGTTAGGTATCGGTGCCGGGTACAATACACTTGGGAACACTGCCTCATGAAGCTGGTTGTCAATCTGTAACCTTTGACACTTCAGGTGACAGTACGTATACGTTTCAGACTTACGTAACTGCAGCCATACACCAGGGTTGTACGTTCTACGGAGCTCAGAGAAGAATGGCTTAGTCATCTGCATTTTCTCCAAATCCAAATGGATGTACTCTTTCAGTTGACATTTCTTTTGATCCGTCTGGTACTTGTCTTCGATCCAAGATGTCAGGTCAGGGGACAGTTGCTTCCACTTGTGGTTGACGTTGACTTCCCACCGAGGCAACGAATCAGTCATGCTGACATACGCCAGTTCCTTGACTCCTGCATGAGTAGGCACACAAACTGATAGACTAACTCCGGACAAGGACATGTAGACCTCGTAGTTACTTCTTTCTGCGTTGATGCGCATCCTGTATTGGTACGCTATTCTTTCGTCCTGCGCCAATGCGAATACTCTTTGATATCCATCCATGTAAGATATCCAGTAGACCACCACCTTGTCTTTCCTCATCTTCTTAGTTTTCGCGTGTGCTTCAGGAAGGTCTGAACTGTCAGAGTCATCACTGCTTGAAGAGCAGGGTTCAGGGGACTTTGGAGTCAGTCTCTTGAGAGTCGAAGATAGTTTGGACGTGACGCTGTTCGTTGCTACCAGGGTTGAGTGCTTTACTGAGTGGAAACTTACTTTTTCTTCACCGTAGCTGTAAAAAAGAAGAGAACATACGTAATGTAAACATAAAGGTATAAATATAATCCAAAATAGTTAATTGAGGAATTTAAGATAGTTAATTAATTACCCATCCTGATTAAAAGCAGCATCAAATCCTTTGCCCTTATTGTTATAAATATTCCACATCAGTTTCCTTTCTTTTGCGGGATCATCCCAAGTATACAGCATGGACTGATAGGGGCTCAGTAGAGCCACCTGGCCCGAGTCTGCCTGGTGCAACTTGAGGAATAAGTCATCACATAAGTTGTCGATACGAACTGGTGAGTCCCCTGCCGTGTAGGGCTTAAAGGTGATGGTGAAGGGACGGTCAGTACCGCCAGTCACTTCCACGCAGATTGCTGTCTGTAAAGAGAAAATTAATGTGTAAGGTGGTAAGCATTATGGAATGATCATTGTTATACAATAGAACAGAGGTGTAGGTTTGCATTGTATGTAGTACAAAGGGTCACGCATGTAACATAGAATGTAACTAGTTAGTATTACAGCTAAGTAATCATCAACAACAAACATTTACACAACCCACATACCTACAAAACGGACACCTACATGTAACACTCCACTTCTAAACATTAATGAAAAATTGTCCATGTAAACATTTCACATATCCGCATAATAGTACAATGATCGTAATTTGTAACATAAACATGAAAGCCGTGACGTAACAGTTACATCAGCCGGGCAGCGCAGGCGCGGCCGGGGCGCGACACTAACTCAATTAGCACCACTTTCATCTCAACTTTTATAAGACTCGCCTACAGATACACTTTCCCTCAGTTTTCAGTAGACTACAGTGAAACAATGTTCAAAGTTGTGTTGTTTGTAACATTTTCTGTGTTTTGTGTGGTTCATTCCCAAAGTGATGATGGATGCAGACATTCGAAATCGTACACTAGAGTTAAACGAGGGAAATACTTCCCCGGACCTCCGCTAAGGTTCTACAATCGTCCCCCCATGACATTTCCCATAAAAGGACCGTTCTCCTACACGCCACCACCGTTCATGCAGGACGATGAACCCCCATACCCCGGCAGCCGACCCTACAAGGTTAGTAAACGTCCCACTAACGATGGTTTAGGGGACGATGACATAAATAACCTAGTTAAAAACTTATCTAAACAAGATTTGGACAAAATTATCGAATTTGCTTATGAAAAAGATAAACATTCTGATAGAAGCAAAGATATGGAATATGAATACAACAGACCGAGTAAGAGGGAGAATTCTCACAAACCACCGCCCTATGCCAAAGATTATTACAACACCAAATATTCAGAAGAAAAGCCTTATGAAATGGAGTTCAAGAAATATATAAGTTACGTGACTGAAGCAACTCCCGTGAAGTATATGCCGCAAGAAGATATAAGAAGTCCATATCCTATAGACATAGAACCGAATCAAGTCAGTTTCCACGGATCGCAGGACGACAGGCCGCCACCGAGCAAAGTATTCAGTGCGCAAGATAACGGACTGACTCAATTCAAGGGATTTGGACCAGAAGTCAGTACACCAACTAAATACAAAGATTTTGGACCACAATATGACCGACCAAGTTTTGCTCCGCCAGGCACATCACGCCCATTCAAGACTTATGGACCACAAGACGACATAATACCTCCAACATCTAACATTGATAGTGTTCAAAAATTCGAAAGCCTTCCACCAACGCCTTACCCAGGTCAAACTCCTTCAGATTTTCCTGTAACGACTGAAGAAGAAACATTGCCTCCCCCAATTAACATGAGAGAAGTAGACTTTGATGTGTCTTACACAAATAACGTACCCACCGTAGTGCAAGCAGATTCTACTTCATATGAAGTTGAAAATTTCGGTGACTTACCGTTGATGAATTACAATTCTAAGTTGCATTCAGTCAGTTCGTACCATGTGCCGCATTACACTGTGAGTATTTGGGATTCTTTTTAAAAGGTTTGGGTGAATTAACACATCGATGATAAGTAGACCAGGAATTTTAACGAGAAGATCACACGAAATAGCAAACTTATTATAACGAGTCAATTACAGAAGAAGCTAACGCCAAAGACTAAGCACCTAATTTGTGTCATGGAAACAAAACAGAAATCGAAAATTCTCCAAAAAAATCTTACCCACAAAGTTGTTCCATTTTCCTCACGTTACATACGTATAGATAACAATTATGTTTTATTAAATTAGTGAGCCTGGTGGCTCGCCTGATGATCTAGTGATCATCAGGTAAGATAGTGGCCAAAATATAAAAAAAAGTAATTTAAACCATCAAATATTTTACTGATTCATAAAACACGTGAATCTAATTACAGTAACATCTTCTATTGTTCCAGGTAACACAATCAAAATCGCAATCACTCCCATCGCCCCCTTCATCGTCTTACTCATCATCGCAGTCATACTCTTCATCATCTACTGGCCTAAAGCCGTCTCCTGCTGCAGCATCCATCAAGGCTCCTCCCGTAGAACCTGCTCCTCCACCATCAGTAGCCAAGGAGCAAAGTGATGCACATCTGAAGGCCATCAAGATATGGTCCCACAAGTCAAAAGGCGCTGCTTACACGCTTCACGATGATGGTACTTTGACGCCAGAATGGCCCCGACCGAAATATGGTAAATAATTTAGATATGTCAACTCTAGGAATAAAATCTATTTATTTTATAAATCTGTTGTTTTTTTAGATCCTTTCCTCCAACCTTTGGAATATGTAGTTATTTATTTTTTAGTCTGAAGTTTGGAAACAAAATCTAGTCCAATAAGGCCACTTTCATGCATACGTAATTGCTTGTATGTGTTGAAAACTTGAAAAAATCTAGTAATATCTAAAACTCACCTTTTCAGATTAAAGGTCAAATGGTCAAATGTCATCCAAATGCATTTAATCAAGAATTATCAGAGATAAAATCAATAAACTCACCCCCTTATCCATCCTCAACACAGTAAAATGATTCTTCGTAATAGGGAAGTGTTGGGAGACCACAGTGGAATCCCGGTACTTGCAGTGCATGGACATGGAATCCGTCTGTGGCCAGAACGGAGTACATTGCTGAGGGGCCAAGTCGTTCCAAAGGTCGGCCGCTTCATTCTCCTCCATGAAACGCAAATGACGCTTGGTGTCGTTGTAGACCAGGAAATATGGTAAAAGCGTCACAATTTTCGTCAATTGTGGACATAATTCTGATAGGGTTACCTGTGAAATGGAAGAAGAGAGAATTAGAAACCTTATTTACTCGTGTTGCATTGTGTTTTAGTGATTTATACCGTAGAAACTGATTGTTTTGTAGTAGAGTACTAACGTTAAGCAGTAGCCGATAGTTGGTGCGTCTCTCAGTATGAGGACACACGACCAGCCCTGGAGCTGCAGCAGCCAGGCGCGCAGCTCGTGACCACGCGGAGTGGTGTGCACGGAACCGAACCCGCGCCCCTCGCCGATGGCCTCGAGTCCCAGGACTCCACAGTAGAGGCTCCTCCGTTACCTCGTAGCAGGTGTCTGACTGACCACCCTGACAGACACATCCCAATTTAATACCAGTATATACCTAAAACGTTTAGAGATCATCATTTTGCTGTCGTTGCATATAATTTTAAGATCTTCCTTAATTGAAGATTATTTAATCTGTCAAACACCAAGCGGTCACCGGTGACCGCGACCTATTGTTCTTTAATTGTGTCTATAAAACCGGTACTCGACGAGTTAAAGAATCCGTATGTAACCTCTTTTGGTAACTATTACTTCAATTGCTCATTATTTTTTTGTTTATCGATGACTTCAGTACTCAACACCAAGCCTTTTATCTCCAATGGGGTAGGCAGAGGTGTACATTACGGCACTTAAAGCTGATGACATTAACAAGAGGTTCCGTTAACAACAGGCCTAGGCAAAGAACTTAACTTGGTTATAACTTTGAAATGTCTAGAAGCGCCGCATCCAAATATAACAGTTCGCACGAAAATATCAAGCCAACTGATCGCGTCGCGTCATTTCACCGCTCTGCATCGATTCCCACGGACATATTGTCACGTAGGACTTCAAATAGGTTTCGACAGTTTGTTGTTTTCGTGCCGCATTTGCTTCTAGATCGTTCACGCAGGACGTAGCGTAAGAAGAGCTCCAAGGCTCCTACGTGAAGCCTATGGGCGTTACCTTGACGTGCAGCGGCAGGCCGGTCTTGTTGATGAGCCAGTGCTGCGCGTGCAGGAACAGCTGCCAGCAGTCGCGCCGCGCCACGCGCGCCACCACCGCCAGCGCCTGCGCGCCCGCCGCCCCGCCCGCCGCCTCGCCCGCCGCCTCGCCCTCGCAGCGCAGCGACACTGTCTTCTCTGTCACGTCTGCGCACGGACAATCGGAGGTTCATGATATTGTGCTAGTGTAGACACAGCTCCATCGGCCCAAAAACGTCTGTCTTCAATTTGAGCCAAAGAATGTTGAAGTCCATTCGTACTTATTCTGGATTATCGGTGATTCCATCCCCTTAAAAGATGCACTAGTAAATCGTCTGGTGTTTTAGGACTTGATGGCTAATGTTAATTGCTTACCATCAGATGATCCATCTATTCAGTAACCTCTATGCTATTAAAAATGCCCTAAAAAGTTTATTTTATCCCAATTTATATTATCATAATTGAAATGGGCACAGACCCACTAAGGTGGAAGTACTGACCCGGCGACAGCGTGAAGCTGCCGGTCCACAGCAGGCCGACGTAGTGCACGGCCAGCGTCAGGCGGTGCGGCTGCGGCAGCGCCAGCGTGTAGCAGTGCGCGCGCTCGCCCGCCTCGATGCGCATGCGCAGCGCCGCGGCCTCGCAGCGCACCTCCGTCGCGTACGGCAGTCGGTTGTACACGGCCAGCGGGGGCACCACGCGCACCACGTAGTTCGGGATCGCTCGGCTGATCTTGGATGACTGGCAACCTGGCGACGGAACGTCATCTATACATACTTTCTACCCTCAGGAAATGGATGGGAACGGTAAAAAATACAGCTTTGAATATGTCCCGAGTGCAATTTAATGTTGCGTTAAAATTGAGGCACCATTAGCCAAAAAAAAATTCGGATATTTGTTAACTTGGCTAAAATTGCACTTACCTTCCACAGGCAAGATCCTCATGGCAAATATCCTCTTGTCTTCTCCATCCTTGGCAGGACATATCATGTCCCGCGGTGTACCCACTTCATTCGCCAGTTCCATCCACCAGATGCCTTGCGTAGCTGTTTGGTAGCTCCTGCAATAATTTAGTTATTTGTTAGCCCAACTCAATAAAAATAGAACTACAAATACTGCAGTTTGCTGTTGGTATAACTTAATTCGCGCATTCATATGACAACTTACTCGAAGTTAGAAGGCAGCAAGAACAGTTTACAGTGGTAGGCGATATACAGAGGCACGTTATACGTCTCCTGTGGAGCTATCACGGCTAGCCGCATCTTGTCATCGAACGGATTCGTCAGGGATCCTATCAGTTCAGCTCCGATAGCCTGCAGGTCTGTCTTCTTGTAGAACAGCTCGAGGGCGTATGAAGTTTCGTTGCGAATCTATAAAAAATAAGACAAACTTAAACTGTGTAAATTCACTTATTTTATGCAATGTCTGTTTATTTCCTGGAGCAAGTTCTTTTCTTATTGTAAACAAGTATTAAGCAAACTTTTGTATTAAAAAGAAAAAATGCCAATACTGAAAATGTTGAGCGAGGTAGTTTCGTATGGACTTTAATGAAATTTTTCTCGTTAAGACGGTAACTGCTATGAATACAAACCTGGTATGGAGATCGGACGACAATCTTCTTGTTGTTATACTTGGAGGTCCTCTCCACGGCGATGTAGTACCGCGTCGAGTTCTTGCTCGGGTGCAGCACGTGTAGCTTCGACACATTGCGTTGCGGACACAGGATCTGAAGGGAAATTGTAGATTCTATTGATATTGTGTGAACTCTGTCTGTTGTGTTGTACCGGGCAAAATATAATCATTGATGGTATGCTCCGTCAATATAAGTAGATGAGTCCCAGAAGTAAAAAAGAAAACAAAGATAATCCAGTAGGTACCTCAACCGTCCACCTAATTTGATAATCGCCTAGAGATAGAAAACCTGAATGACCCTTTTGAATTTGGCAGTTGTCTGTAGATACTTACAGTGAGATGGTCCAGGTCATGCAGGCGCACGGTGAGCGTGAGGTCTGTGAGGCGCGTGCGCAGCGCGGGCGGCGGCGGGGGCGGCGCGGGCGACCACGCGCACGCCGCCGCCGGGGACACCGCTCCGCCGGGGAAACCACCCTCGAAGCTGTGGGATTCATTGTACACCCGATTAGTTGAACTTTATGTTGACCAGCCTTTCAGCAACTGGGCGTTAATAATGGCTTTTTCTTCAAAGTAGGTAATTAAACTTACCAATCCCATTCATCACTGACGTCTGTCATTATTTTCGGCTTTGTTGGTGGTTCATCTAGCAGATCAGCTGATGATGTGTCGCATCCTAAACAAACAGGAAGAAAAACAATATGAAGTCATTCATCAACTGGAATTTCTTCTTTTCGGCCTTCTTAAGAGAATTCGGAATCTGCTATTTTACAAAGATATCGGCCGACGTGTTTGCACATGATACACGCAATAATTACAATATTGGTAGCATAAGATGCTCATTACCTGGTGTGCTAGGCCGGCTAGTGTCCACGTCATAATCGGCTATGGCTATAATCCTCTCGTTGCCCGCCAAATCTGTCTCCGCTTTCGTTTTCAAATGGACTGTTGATCCCGGTCCTGGACAACAACAAACACATCTCTAGTTTTGACTGTTGTCTGTAGTACTAGTAGACTACCTGCAGTCTTTAGACATTAGACTGAGAACGGTAGACTTTAATCTTTCGACTTTCGACTTTAGCCTTAAGAATTCAGATGGGTCTACCAGGAAAGTAGGAACCTACACATTTTCAGATAATACACATCCTGATCAAACAAATAGGTACTTTAACTCTAGTTTTGTTATGAAACTTCAATTTTAAATTGTCGCCATTGCTACTTTTAAATTTTTACCTATATCATTGACTAGTAGCAGTCCACTTTCCCCAGTGACGATGGCAGTGACTACAGCAGTTCTGTCAGTACATGCTGCAGCCAGGTCCAGCAGTGCTCTAGCTCCTGCAGGAGTTACTGTGATGTTCAGCATGTCTCTCGCTTCCACTGCTATGTAGGTGCAGGATTTGTCAATGTAACTCTCTGTCTCGAGTCCTGAGTCCACACTGTCTTCGCGGACGACTGGGTCCTGGTGAAAAGTATTTTTTACTTGTTTAAAGGACTTTGTCTCTTAGACCATATTGCCCAAAGTAAAATTCTTATTTGTGAGATAGATAGAAAAGATTTTGTATTAAACACACACAAACAAGAATATTGTAATTAAAGGTTTCAATGTTACCTGTAACGTTACAGTTTTAGGTTCTGTCTCTTTCTTTCCCTTGGCTTCTCCATCTATGAACGTCACTGCTTTCTCGTTCTCATCATGATCACTGCCTACTTCTACTTCACTTTGTTCTGGTGCCGAAGAGTCTTCATCATTGCTCATTTCTTCAGCACTGGAGTCACTGGAGAAAAAGCAGCGATTAGATTGATCTACATCAGTCTATTTATGTCTGTCTCAACTCACTACATCAATTGTACTATTTGTGTACATGCATCGGTACGCAAATGATGTCGCGTCGTTTCTACTTCAAGTTTCTCTAGTAGTGTCTATAAATTAAAAAGATTAGTAGTGGCTACACATTCAACTTACTCAGTAAACAAATGTCCAATAGCAGTAGCTAGTTTATCCATCAGTCCACTTTCATTCTCCGAGTCAGATTCGTCTCCATCCAGCAATCCCAGGAATGACATATGTCCAGCGCTAAAGTCCACATTGTAATGCTTACTTTCTTTACCATTCGGATTTTTAATAAACGTCATTTCATTGTCGGTGTCACCCTCGTCTGCTGAAGTTTCAGACTCGAATCCGTTCTTCTTTTTAGGTTTCTTTGATTGATCGGATGCGATCGAGGAGTCTACTTCTGTTTCTTGTTGACTTGAGGTGTCGAGTCGCGATGACATTGGGTAAGCTTTGGCCTGAAGAATAAATAGTTTTTATGACTATACATTGTGTTCTAGTGACTATTCTTGTATACTATACAGACACAGACAAAGCTCTTCTTTGTCTGTGTCTGAACCAGAATTCGAAATTACTATTTTTTTTAAAAAAAAAAAAACGTTGCCCCACAGTAGGATTTTCTCCTGTGTCGTGGGTGCGTTTACAAACATACAAGTTCACATACACAATAACACCCAGACCCGAAACAACAATTTGTGGATCACACAAAGTGTTGTTCCGTGCGGGAATCGAACCCGCGACACGTTGCACGGCAGCCGGTTGCCCAGCCACCGCACCAACCGTGCTGTATTGACCTAATTAAGTAGAAAGAATTAATAATAAGAGATGAACATAGAAACGAGACAAACCTGGAACAGAGTAGCAGTGATCTCCCAAGGTCGGTAGACGTTCTCGTTCTGCACGACAGGTTCAATGAGCGGCTCCCAGGCGTCTACGCGCTCGTTGTAACACGACGCTATCATACTGAGAGACGCTGTGCCGTGCAGTTGTTGAGACCAGTCGTGGATCGTCACCTCAGATTTCATCTAGTAAATGAGAAGTTGTTTGAGTTGATTCTATGTTGGTAAATTGAATATTAAATGACACAAAAAGAATGTGACCGTCTCGAATCCAAAATTTACGCGAAAAGAACTGTTTTGCTTCTTTGATAAAACTATCTACTGTTTTTGCCACTTTACATTTTTAAAAAGATACAATATCAACAAACCCGGAAAATATCTACATGCCACCCGTTCAACGTCAATCAAATAATCCTTTTTTTAATTCCTATCTAATAATTAACCTACCTTCATCATCAGCACCGGTACCCTGACAGTCTGCTCCATTTCAAACATGATCCTCACGCAAGGCACGCTCATGATGAACGTCTCCGAAGGTCTAAGGCTCGGGTACTTCGGCTGTGTGTAAATATCTTCAGGGTTCAGTACTACGTAAGGAGTCAGCTTCTTCGGAGACCAGAGGTCTTCGTCCTGCTTCTCAGACTTCGGGTTGTAAGTCGCAAAGTTGAAAGGTTCCTTCTCATCAGGTATTGTTAGTTCTGATGTTATTTCTTCAATTATATCTGAAATGCCACGGAACTTGAAGTATTATTTCTCAGGAAAAGTTAATACGAAACTAGTAGATTTATAAAACAATGTAGCGTGAAATGATTGATTAGCTGCGTTATTTTATATTATACAAAAAATTGTTTCGTATGAAAAACATGTTTGTGGCGCTTCGTCTGGTTTGCGCCAAGTATGATTTTAACGGTGTATTATTTTTATTACCTATGACAGTATGCACTGTAGTAGCTGCAATATGCACTTCGACCTCCGAAACCGTCATCTTCACTCTTATACCCTCCTCAATATTCTTGAAAGCCTTTGAAAATTCTATGTCACAAGGTTTTAGTACCAGCTGTGGTGGTAAATTCTTCAGCTTTGATTGAAGTTTGGACATTATCTGAAGTCCAGCTAAAGAGACTACGAAAGACTCGCTGTTAGAGTGAGAGGAGTAGTCTATAAGGAGTTCTGTCCGTAAAAGAAGTGCGTGACCTTCAGTCTTGGTGAGGTCAGTGAAGAACATGATTTCTGGTTGACGGAACTGTACCGATATTGATAGACCTGGTTGTTCTTCTGACATTGATGTCGCTGGAAGAAGTAAAATGTTTATTAGAAACTTTAGTGTATTTAATATAATACTAAGATTGATTCAGTATCTAAAGTTTTTACTAATAGAGATAAAATTGCAATGACTAACCTGCTGAATAATAACCGCTAGTAGAGTCACTGGAGCTGGGCAGTCTCGCAGCACGATTATTGTTGCCTGTCTTTGAAGGGTGCACATCACCTACGTAGCCATGATTTACTACACCACCTTCCATTGTCTTTTCACCTTGAAAAATGTGAAAAGAAAATTGATGGTAATTATTTTTAAGCATTTACACGCACAATAATTGCTAAACCCGATACTAGGAGACGACTGTCTCAAGAATTTTAGCATTTTTTAGGTTATTTGCAGTACCTTACCTGGCATAGCATCCAGTAAAGTCCTAGCTAGCTGCAGCAGGAATGGCAGCGCGAGATTGAACCTAGTCCTATCTACTCTGACGTCAGCGTGGCGGGCCTTCGCCCCCGTCACTCGCAGACTGGCGTCTATCAGTGGAGGGCGACGCACTGAGATACAGGAGTCTTCTGCATCAGCGTTCGTGCCTCCTTGAGATTGGAAAATCCTGCGAATAGCAAATTTAGGAACAATAGTTTTTAGGCTTTATGGGTAGTTTGGGTTGCCTTTTAACCTATTGCGTTCTACTACTACTACTACTATTATGGTTTATTTGTGATAGTAAGATTGCTAGTAACTTCATCTACTCACCTCTTAATAACAATACCAGGATCTGGTCGAATGTCTTCAACTAACAAGCTTTGCAGACTAGCCTTGATTTCTAGACTACCATCGGAGCTGTATTCCATCTGCAGCATCGCCTCTCCAGCTGTCAATTTCGCTAGTCCATGGTTTAGATCCCTAACTGGGGAGCTTAGGACTTCATCCATGTCTGAGAATAGCTTTAATTCTATGCCGTCTAGGATGAACCTGGAAATTAATATTTTTTGCATACTTGTATTTGTAAGTCCTGAAATACATTGCATTGTTTAAGTTCTGTTTACTCTATAATTTCTTACCTAACAACAGCTTCTTTTCTAATAGGTTCACCTTGTGCGAAGAAAGCTTGTAACTTCTTAACTGATGAATCTGATGGTGCTGTCTCTACTGGAGAACTTGGTACTATACTTCCTGCAATAGAAATAATTACAGGTTTATTAACTTGCCCAGATCCCCTCATCCGACCTGGTGTGATTAAGTAACAAATATTATTTGGATATATCCTCACAAACTTTCACAGTATACAACGGTAAAATTTTATAACAACATTCTTTATCATTTGCAATGGATGATAATCGTTTCCAACCAGCTGATCTGGAAGTCTGAGGATCCTATGTTCAATAGTACCGATATAGTTTCCCTCGCTGAGGTTATCGTTCCAGACAGCGAGCATGGTGGCGAGGTCCTTCTGTCCAACATTTAGAGTGACGGCATCCACCGCGACCCCGCCCTCCAGCGCCAGCAGGTCGCGCAGGGAGGCCAGGCGGACCAACTGCTGGTACGATACTGCACGCTTCAGGTCGCAACGTACTGATACTGGCTCCAGGATCGGCTCCTGGATAGGAACCGTTGCATTTGTCATTATCAGACTCAAGAAACCGTCAATTTTATTATAAACTTGAAGACAATTATATTCGTAGAACATTTTATCTTAAATACTAAAGTCGCAGTGATCCTTTAAAGTCCAAGGCTTCATATAAAGACCCAAATTATTTATAAAATTAACGAATATTACTTCTGGTTCCTCAGTCAACTAAAACTAAGTCCCAACCTGCACTTCTAAAGTTCCAGCTAGTGTCATAACGGCTCTGGAGAAGGTGATGTTCACCAATTTGATGAGTATGTTGTCTATAACAGCATTCTGGATGGGACTGGTAGGCTCATTGCCAGTGTTCAACTGCTTGAAGAAGTTTTCTATTAAAAGATCGCCTGAAAAAGGAGCCAAGGTATACGTATTTATAGTATTAGTAGTAGTAGTGGTAATTGTACAATAAAAGGTAAAAGGATAGGAGCGGTATCATAATATCGTTGCTTACCCATATTGAAGACTAATAGATTCGGGGATGAAGGCTTCTGTGGCAACAATAGGACAGGAGCGTGAATCTGAAATAATTTTAAAACAGATGTCAATGCTGTTGGTCAGATGTTTAATTGGTAAGTAGATATTAGACTAGAGTAGTAACTCGCAGGAACGCTGTGTACCTCGATGGCGAGGTTGAGCCTGGTGGCGGCGGAGCGCGCGGCGGCGGCGTGTCGCTCGGCGGCGCGCTCGGCCGCGCCCGCCGCCTCCGCCGCCGCCGCCGGCACCAGCGGCTCCAGCACTTGCTGCAACACATTGTACACGTGCTCAATGCCTCATTACAATACAAACTCAATCGTGAAGGTCATCTAAAAGAGGACTCTACTTCATGACAATGTGACCGTTAGAGTTGACGAGTTCAAGATTGGAAAGAAAGTAACAAAATTGACAGGCATCTTGCTACTCCACCAGCTTGGTAATAATTTTAGTCCAAATTTAGTCAATCTATCTGGAACTAAGAAAGTTGAGTTAGTGAAAACATCCGCAAAGTCGCAATGTGTATAGCTGCGGTATTTTTTTTCTAATATATGTTAATAATACTTAGGTTCGGTAATGAATGTGAGAGCCGTACCTGTATATGATGCATGACACAGCAGAACAGTACGACGTGCAGCCTGCCGACGTAGACCCGCAGCTCGCCGTGCGCCTTCATGGAGCGCTGGTCCGCGCCGGCGCCGTACAGCCGCGCCGCCGCGCGCACGTACTTTATCTCCAGCACTTTGTCTTCGTCTGGCCACACCAACTACGTAAACGAGAAATCAAAAACTTTTCGAGTTTAAATATTCTTATTTTGAAATCACGTTTTTCCCCACACTTTATTATCGGATGGATCATGTTACTGACGTTCTGGATCCTAAGTAGACCAAGTCTAACAAACAGGTAAAATGATTATTTTTCATTATATATCCTAAATCCAATAAAAGTCCATTTAACATTAAGAATTCTTTAACATTGAGTATTTCATTACCTTGGGATACAATGTGGCCTCCGCAAGGTCATCAATATGCAGTGAGCTGAGGTATAACTTAAAGATCATCCGGTCGTTGGCTCGGAACACGCAGTCACTCTCCAACGACCCGAGCCTCATCTCCAGCACTGCACTCTCCAGGTGGCACAGCTTCATCGATATTGATGATGCTCTGGGAATATCGGAACAGTTTACTTACCATTGAAAGAAGAATTATTAATGTCGACAGAAAGTTGGAAAAAAAAGAAAAATTATTTTACCTGACAGAATAACTGAATTTGGTAGCACCAGGTGGTACAGGCGGATCAGCTTCAGGCTGCATCAGGTAGTCCCATAATGATCTAGACTTCGGCAGAACTACATTCTTCAGGTTAAGTGCGTGACGGTTCTGGATCCTAGAAAGATCAGCATAAGTTCAGATTTTGCTAAACACATAAATATTTATTTCACGATTAGAAGAACCTATAAAATTTAAATAGAAGTACCAGTCCCGCCCTTGAATTTAAAATACTTACTTATCAGAAATGTACTGCAGATACTTGAGAAGTGTTGGCAATGCATCTGCATGCAGCAATAACGCGAGATGTCCAACATCTGCCACCAACGCCTGCTCCACATTGTGGAAGTGAGAGCGGAACTCTGGACAGTCGGCGCGAACCTGTATCACGACAAATAATTTATCATTTATATATTCAAATACCGTTATTGATAATGCACATATTTATAGGAAGACTTAGACGGCAGTTTCTTTCGCCTTACTTATAGTTATACCACAGTCTAAAAATCATATACGTAGCTAACGATGGGGTAAAACAGTAATGTGTATTTATTCCACACACTGTGTTAAGATCTTGTGAAGAGAACAGTTCCATTCATATACGTTAACTTTAAAATAAGAAGTTACCCACCTTCCTATACAATAAATTAAACAGCTCCCCGGAGCTGGTGATCAGTTCCAAATACTGTCCCGTACTACTGTGATGCTGTTTATCAGTCAGTAACACTTGGCTGACAGACAGCTGGACAGCAGGACCGTACTCCATGAGTGCCACGTCCAGGCAGACCTTCGTGATGCTCAGCATTACGTATGGCTTCTCCATTTGGTCACACGAACGGGACAGGTTGATTACTATTTCGCCTGGAGACATTGAAATGAAAGGAAAATTTGATCAGAGTGTTACAGATAAATATTGCATGTTAATAACATTATATTGACTTTAAAAAATTAAGTGAATGTATCTTTTGCTCATAATAAATAATAATAATAAATAATCTTTATTGTACAGCAATTTGAGACAGTATATCCAGGAACAAATAAAGAAAATAGGGTACAAAGGCGGCCTTATCGCTAAAAGCGATATCTACCAGGCAACCTTTTATTTAGTTCTCATATTTTATTTAGTTGCTTTAAATTAGCGTGTTTTTATCTTTTTCAAATTCTTCACTAACTCACCAACAATGAACCTCAGCAACGTATTAATATTGTTACTAGGTGACACATTGTCATCGAACCCAGGAAGGTCGACAGTCCTGGCATATATCTCAATGTCTTCATCGCTATGTTCTGATGCAGCAGAGGCCTGCTGGGCTGCTTGGAACCCAAGCTTCGCTGTAGCCTTGTCGAAAGTGGTTTCTGCTGCCCTAGAATTGATACTTCATTAATTTATTTATAAAATTGACTTATGTTATGAAATTATCCGTTTGCTAATTTCATATTTTACCAATGCTTCCTTATTAATTCAAAAAAAGCTAATTTGCTTTTTCAATATTTTTGTATTCATATTAGTTACATCGTTTTATCTTCATAAACATTAACTTACTTGCTCCTACTCAGATAAGCTGCCACGACCTTCTGCCTCAAGTTCATGAGATCCTTATAATCAGGGTCAGCAGTCACCCTGTCTATGCTCAGCATTTCAGCCATCTCTGGTTCTTCCATCTCCTCAGTATAGTCTCCAGAGTCCATGAAGGAGACTGGCACGGTGTTGGGTACAGGGACAGGGAGATTGTCGCAGAAATCAAGGAGAAGACCTATGATCCGGTCTGAGAGATTCAGCTTGATGCTTGATAAAGAGATGTTTAGTTTGTATCTGGAAGAAAATACTTGATAATTGTAAAAGACCATTTCATAGGACATAATTTTTCAATCCGATACTGACTACTTGACGGTCATATCTTACTTTGGTAGTAATTTGTAATCCTTCTTGATACTGTTGGAGAACACGACCTGCATCTTGATCTTGGGTATCAAGTGCAGTTCTGAGTCTGCGTGGCGACGTGATTCACGCCATGAATCTGTCCACTCGCAGAATAAAACCTGGAGATAGATGGGATGGAATGAAAACCGAAAACTTAAAAACTTGGAACGAAAAAGAATGTAATTATAACTAGCTGTTTTATGTTGTAGACACTGGCAATTAGCTGTTCTCAGTTAGTGATCACAATGATAGATCAAAAAGTAACAGTCTTTTACCACATACTCCAAAATTGTTTTTACCTGACAAGAGCATTCAGCATGCAATCTATCATACAGCCGCTCTTCCAGCTCCATGCATGTGGCATCCTCGAGCGTCAAGTTCGATGGTTGCAGATCTGACTTCACTATGATGCGACTAATGTCAAAGATCATTACGCGACCGGACCTGTAATAAGAACCCCTTGATGAAAAACAAAGAAGAATATTATAAGCTTGCTAATATTGCAGGTAACTTAGATAAAATTGTTGTCCTTGTCCAATGAAAGAAATTATGAGAATTAATAATTATGTTTTCGACTTATGTACGTAACTAATTGACGAGGCACTCGACTAATTTGAAGCCGAAAACATAATAATTAATTTAGTATGTCTCACGAAAGTTATAATATTTAATATTTTTTCTTAGTATCTATTATTTGAGCAAAGGGCATAGAGACTTTTTCAGTAGAACTCACACATATGGCTACATTAAAGAAGTCTCAAGTAGGAAAGATGTTATAATAATTAAATTATGCAAACAACGCACTTATGCACACATCCATGCTCCGGCACGACCACGCAGGGTCCTTTAACATCCACATTCAAGTGGAACACCTTCCTCCGACTGATGGCGTACGCCAGCACAGACTTGCTGACGGCACCAGCTCTGAGCACTGCTTCAGAGACTTCCACTGCCAACTCCTCGGCGGTCATCGAGTGAGTTTGGAAGAAGTTGATCAGCTCCGTAAAGGAATGCTATGGAAATAAAATGACTTTTTACAAATAACTCTGTCAGCGTGAATGTCGTCCGAACGATATTGTTGATGATGATGATGACAATGAGTTTTAGAATGCTTTTATGACACGAGTAAAATACAAATATTACCTCAATGTAGACCAACTCCACAGGTTCCATAAGGCAGCATAATCCATAATCAGCTTCATTGCTACAAGGATTCTTCTCCAAGTCTATAGCCAGTAGATTGGAACTGGTGACTCCTGAGCCTCGCTCTGGAGTCAGGAGTGGAACCAAATCACCGTCAGATGTTACTCCTTCCACTACTATACTTTCTGCTCGAGCTGAGAGCTGAAAGAAATATTGTAATTTAAGCAAAAACATTAAAAATAATAAGGTTAACATGTTATATATCAGAGGTACAAATTATAGAGTTAAGATAGGGTCCAGGTCACAAAGTGTAAGATTAGAATTTTTGCTCAATTTTTTTAGGTAAAATCTATAGTAAAGCAATACAGAAAAAAAATCAACTAACAGAGCAATAAACACACAAGAAACAACGAACAGGCATCATTATCATCATCAATTATCAATACCAAAATAATATAATCTTCTAGCCTCCATAATCGATGTCTTCGTGTAATCAGGGTCTTCTTGAGATGACAATGCTACAGGACAAGCAGTCGAAATGTTACCATTTCAATAATGGACCATTTCGAAAGCCCGTCCTGAGCTGACGGATCTCTTCTGTTGCTGCTGCTGGATGATGGGACGTGACACCACTTTGTAAATAACTGTTTTTGTAGCTATAACACTCATTATAATATTCACAGATACAATCTTACAGTACTCACAAATTAATCTACATCATCTGTCATAAATATAATTATACTTCATAATAAACGGTACCTTATATGCTTTAGCTGAAGGTCTGGTTTCCAAAGACGCGAGGAACTGTGTGAGAGTCAGCACTAGTACTTCTTTATTTCTATTCATCAGCGTCAGTGAACAGTTGGCTAACGTCAGGTTTATTTTATGTTCTAAAACAGTAAACAATTGTTGATAACACTGATTTCAACCATGAGCCACAGAAGAAACTTAAGTAATTTTTATTCCTTACCAATGTACTGTTTGGATTTATCCTTTTGTGGTGCCCCCTCCACATACCCAATCAGTTCACAGACTCTCTTCTTTTCAGGACTAGAGAGATGACTCCACAGACTCTTACTCCTTTCAGTCTTCACACAGAGCTCTACGTGGTTCTTCAAACCTTCGATTTCATCAGTTGGAGAGCTTGATGGCTTCCACCAGTCAAATTCTGTTTCTACTACTTCTATGCGGTCTGGTTCTTGGGCGAGCAACTAAAATGGAATTAGTATTAAAAATTCAACGTTTGTTTGAACAAAAGTGCTAGCTTCCACAACAATACTTACTTCAAACTTAGCTTGCTCCCTAGCAATAATAACAGACACAATCGGTAGACTATCCTCACACTTCTGCAGATCCAATTTCAGTTCAATATCATTTGGACTTCTCAAGGTACTTTTGTAAATCTGTTTGTAGACGTTGTAGTTCTCTCTATGCTTCTTAATGGCTGCCCAGGTGTAGGGCCTGACTCTTTGTTCTACGACTACATTGTAGGCATACTTCCACCACTTCTTGACGTCTTTGGATAGAGGAACTCCCGGGTGGAGATGACGGTATTTTCTGTGGAATGAAATATTTGAAATTAATTAATTCAGAACACTATTCATTTCATTCTTTGTGTCTCATATTTAAAATCTATCTCACCGGTTCAGTTTGATCCTATCAAAAGAAGCTAGTAGATTGTTTATCGACAGGTATTGTCGGCGTGAGAGCTGCAGCGCACTATCTTGCAGCACTGCATCCAATAGTAGACGAGGAACACGCGCTTCTCCAGATCGATTTATCAGCACTTTTACTTTACATGTTACTGGTTTTAGTACTAAAATAAGAATACATTACAAAGATTACTTTCCGAACTAGAACAATGGTAATAGAACTTGGCAACAACCGTAAGCAGCACTGTATATATGAAAGAAGAGATTTCCAATGAATTTCCTTACAAAATTCGAAGTCCTCATGGTGCATGGAGAACTTGTCCAGGCCAGTGAGCATGTAATGCTTCCAATTGTAATACTGCATGGGTGTGATGTGGGCGGTCTCATTGTCATCCAAGGCTGTCGCCGTCGGGTTCCAATAAGCTGACATGGACTCTATGCGCATCATCTGGTAGACCGTGGACGCATTCGCCGGAGTCACTGATGGTTTCCATTTACTAGAAAAATTATAAAAATAGTAAAAGAACTCGTTCAACAATTCTAATCATTGTTTAACTATAAAACTACTGACTTACCTATTAGTAGTCTCAATAGATAAGCTCTGGAGACACAGTCCACACGCAAGGGGTCCATCCTTGGAACTGATGGAGTCTTCATACCGAATGTGGACGTTCCTGACGTAAATCTGAAGGTTATTCACAATAGCCGTGAACAAATGCTCGAAGAAATTCTGGGGACCTTTGAGGACTTCACTCTCGGCTTCCAAGTCCTGAAGAATCTTCCGTTTGGCTGCCCTGGTTAACCGTCTTTCTCGTTCTGGGTCAAAGTAGCTGTTGGATATCGCTGGGCCTACCAGCACGAGCACATCTTCGATGTTGACGACCACAGGCTGCGTGTATAGGCCTGACCATGGTATCTGCAGGCCGATGCGGCCGATTGTACCGATCTTCACATCTATTGGGAGGTCGAGTTCGTACTGTAATGAAGAGTAATATTTTAGAAACTGCACACAAATAGGATAAAGGGAGTGCGAAATTAAATTGGGTTAAGTATTATAGGTATTAGGTAACGCACGATATTTAAAATTCTCATTTAACTATCACACGGACTTTGCTTTCATGGCCAAAATATGAGCATTACATGAACCTCGGAAAACCTGGAGCCATTAATTAAGTAGGTACACTTCTGCCAATTCATGCTTAGATTTTAAATCATGACCAAAAATTCGAGAGCTTCTTACCAAAGCCTCAGGCTTGAGTTTCAAGTCTGTGAGGTTGACATTCCCGGAGAAGATGCCCACGTTGAGATTCTCCGTGTCCAAGTCCTGAACGTACTTGCCCAGCAGCCGGTTCAGGATCCCGGCGACCGCGCCCTCGAACATGATGACGGTGGCTGATGATCAGCTGGACATAAGATATGATTGATTGCATTTGAATAAGAAAAGAAACGATAATGTAAGAGAAAAATACCCAATAAGAAGAAAAGCCTAACCGATCCGGAAACCCGAAATCCAGACGGAAAAGACCTATACAGGTATAGTCCATAGACCAATTTCACGAAATAACGATTTGTATTTTTTGAGACTCAACAAAAGTTTTAATCATGGTCCGTATTTACTATCGAAGCCAAAAAAGTCCAGAATACTTAAAAACACCAAACCTAACTTAACTTTAAAAGTCTTCCTCTTACAATTAAGGAAAGATATAAGGAAAATGTTCTCCCTAACTTAACAGTTTGAATAAATCAGAAGTAAGTGGAATAGATAAGTGTAAGTGTGAGTGACGTGGTATTTACAGATTGGCCTTTACTTGGCGTTACATTATGCATGGCGCCAGCTGCCCTCTTTCCCTCGACTTGCAACGAAAACAATTTAATATTCGGAATCGATGCGCCACACTATTTTAAGAACATTGCGTCGATGATAGCACTCCTTACTATGTCTCCTTTGAAATTCTAATCGTGATTTTAATGTTTTTTGAATTGAGAGACTAGTTTATAGTTTTATTTGTTAGTTTAGATGTGTGAATAAATAAATAGTAACTCATAAATTTACATTTACCTGTAGATAATTTACAAATCAGGTAATACTAATTTTATTCAAAGTTGCTGCAGACCAGTCAAAAGAGTATGTATGTAAGTAATTAAAACTAGGATGAGGAAAAAGGAACAAAAATTAAAAGTAAGTGTCTAAAATACTGTAACAAAGATTAATTAAGCGAAGATAAGAAGTTATCATGCAAGTGATCTACCGATTTATGAAATCATTCATGAAAATTGCAGTTACAGTAAAGTTACAGTTTACAAAAATATACTTATATCGTAATTATGGTGTCGGTACAATCTAATTGAGATAAATGATAAACGGCCAAACTTCATTACGTAGATAGGACAGGACACGCCCTAGTTGACTGTGTTGCAGATTATACAGCGCATCGCCTTGCCATGATTTTTGATTTTCAGCAAGATATACGTTACATCGTCATTAGCATATTGAATACTTACTTAGTCTTGTCAACATGCGCCAAGTATTAGAGACTACAGATATCTACCGTTTTAATTACTTTTTTAGGGAATTAGACGAGCAGACGAATCCCTGGTATGGAAAGCTATCGGCGCCGCCTATGGACATCCGCAACACCAGAGAATTGACAGAGGTACCTAAGCATTCTAAAAAATATAGGTAAGTACCTAAAAAAGTATAGCTTTGAAAACGCGCATGATTCATCATCATTATCAACAGCCTGTTTTCGTTTAGGTACTGCTGGCCATAAGCCTCTCCAATGGCACGCCACTGAGCTTGATCTTCAGCTCCACGCATCCAACCACTACCAGCCACTTTACGTATATGATTAAGAGATAATAGAGGTATATAAACATCTAAGAATCTTGGGTTGATGAATCATTGTGGTGCATCACGGAAGCAGCTAATGTCCAGCAGTTGCTGATCTGAACAGGCTGATACGTGTAAGTGGATTATAAAAGGTGATACTTTATTCACAAGGTATACCAAAGTTATTCGTAAAAAAGTGCATTCAGGAACTATTGTTGCTAAGATTTAAAAGTCGATTAGTTATATTTTTTAATAAGCAAATAGAGCGGAATTATAAAGCGGAACTGTCTAATAAATTTTGCTCAAATAATTTTCATGTCATTGTAAAGTTACGGTGTTCGTGCAAAATCAGATAACAATGTTTTCACAAAAGCGTTGGTACGGCCAAAAATAAACAATAATAAAAATTCCCTAACCGTCAATAAAAACAAAACAATTGTTTTAAAATTAAACAGCGACAGCAGAAAATTGCTTTTAAATGATTACTTATATAAAATTATCTTTCATCGTGATTTAAAAGTAAACGCGACAACAATAGATTCAGGTTCGATCTCTGTGATGTGACTCTATGTATCTTAGAATGTGCTCCGTCTAGTGTATAGAAGGTATATCCAAACCCAATCTCACAATCATTTACAAAGTTACATTGTAGTATGTAGATAATTAAGTTACTAAAGTTACTGACTGCTGACGAACAGCATGGATTTAGGGGATCTCGATCAACTACAACAAGCTTAATTAACTTCGTAGATTTTGTTACTGGTGAGATGGATTCCGGAAGGCAGGTGGATGCAGCCTACTTTGATTTCCGGAAAGCCTTTGACGTAGTTGACAATGATATTTTACTGGCAAAAATGGCAGCTATTGGCTTTAGCCCTGGGTTGCTAACATTTTTTGCATCCTACCTGCGAAACCGGACTCAATATGTCAGGCTGGCACAATTTGAATCGGACAGCTACTACACAAGATCGGGCGTGAGTCAGGGGAGCACACTTGGACCAACCCAGTTTATCATTATGATTAATGATCTGCCAGGGGCCGTTAGTGCTGCTAAGTGTTTATTATTTGCAGATGATTTGAAACTATATCACGTAGTTAAAAATATCTCAGATTGCAGTGATCTGCAAAAGGACATAGACGCAATAGCGAAATGGAGTGACAATAATCGACTGTATTTTAATGGGTCAAAATGTAAAATTATAACCTACACACGCGCTCGCAGGCCAATAATTGCCAATTATGAGTTATCGGATAGACAATTAGATAGAGTTGAGATAATAAGAGACTTGGGACTAACTTTAGATTCACAACTTAACTTCAGACAGCATATGATAAATGTTTGTGAGAGTGCTAATAAAATGTTGGGATTTGTAATGAGGATTTCGTTTGACTTTAAGGGAATTGGAGCAGTACTAACTTTATACAAGGCTTATGTGCGTAGTCGGCTAGAGTATAGTGCAGTGGTGTGGGACCCCTACGAAACAAAATACTCCATCCTAATTGAGCGTATCCAAAGAAAATTCGCTCGATTTGTGTATAGGAAGAGGTACGGATATTATCCCTACCTTTATCCTTCAATGTTTGTCTCAGGGATGGTAGGACTGGATACCCTACAACTAAGACGTAAATTATTATTACTGGTACACTACTATCGACTCCTCAGTAACAAGGTAGATAATCCCACTACACTAGCACGAGTGGGGTTAATGGGAGTTCCTAAACGATATCTCGAGGCTGGTGATGGCACAGAGGGACCGCGTAGGCGGAGGAAATTATTTGCTATGCCACCAGGCGTACGCACAAAGCGAGGTGCTGCAGCACCAACGGCAAGAGCGATGGGTCTCATGAACTCGATGATAGCTCAGCACCCAGAATTAGATGTGTTCCACGATAAATCGTATGTCATACGGAAATTAATGTATAAGTTTTTAAATATAAATCTCAATAATATAGGAATAGGAACTATCTAAGTGATTAATATTGTAATAGGTTTAAGTTTCTTTTTTGTATCCTAGAATGTAAGTATTTTGGCTCTTGCTGTAAACTTTCATTTTAATGTAAATAAATAAATAAAAATAAATAAATAAAAAAATTCAATGTCATTGTAAACGCCTATTTAATAAGACGCGTTTGATACCTTAAAACGTGAGGTACTTTTCGGTAACTATAAATATAATAGGGGAGTAACCTGTTGACATATAAAACTAATAACGTTGATCCTAAGAAAATAACAATGTTTGGGGGAAAACAAACAATATCAGACTGTAAATAAAGAACAATATAGTTTAATTAATTTACCACATAAATCCGTTGGTGAAGCGTCTTGTCGCGAAGAAAGCAGTCGAATGGTTCGCGCTTTTCTAACAATAACAAAATCAATAACACCGATTGGCCGCGAGCTGGTAAACAACTTGGACACGCTCCGACACTCGACGTACCAATATTAATTCAGTATCGAGTCTTATCTCGAGATACACTATCTCCTGATATCGATACATCGGATGACGTTTTAAAAACAATGCCTGCAATGTTCAGGACACGCAGATATAGGTTAACTATCTCATTACATTGATAAGTTGTGTTGTGTCTCCGTATATTACAGTTTTTTGTGAAAACATGTTACAACACGTACCTAGTAGCTATTTTGCATGTAGATGTAACCAGTCTAGCAAAGGTTTCTTGGTATGAATAAGTATGAATATTAAATTTTTCATGAGCGGCCATCTGACATGTAATAACACAGGCTAGGCTTCATGTTGGTAACGTAATATTGCGTGTCTTCTCTTCAAAGACAGAAGTGTAGCTTTAGAAATTAGAACTTACAGAAAACTCATTAGAAACACCAATTAAAAGCCTTTGAAAGATCCAATGAAAAGGCTTCGAATCAAAAATCTGAACACCGATTTAAACACAATAGGTACTTGATAACCGAAGTTTAAAAATAGATTGGCGTATTTTTTAATTAGAGTTTGTGCTCTCACAATTTTCGTATTTCGAAAGATCATTTTGTTGGTATTACTAATTAACGTAATTTATTGTTTGTATGGTCATAAAGGCATCAACTTCATCACGATAAAAGCATATACTACTTGTCCTTTACTCATTCTATGCACGCCTTTTTAATCATACGGAGATGGCATTCTCTTATGTTATGACATATTATTATGACGTCACTGGAACACTGAGGACATAGATTTGATACCATCGTTTATAGCAAAGAACTCGATGTCTCTAGATTAGATTTATAGTGAATCACACATCGAGTCCCGGAACTACAATTTGTGACTCATACAAAGAATTTGAATATACGCATATTTCTCAACAATAATCTTCGTAGGAGTGGGCAAACGGAAAATTGATGTTACATAGTTAACATATGTAACTGCAATGTAGCCAATTTACACCGGTTATAATAATATACTATGTTTTTATAATAACTATCGTGAGACAATATACTAAATTAACTAAAAATCGCAGGTTACTCACGTGAATATACTGAGAAAAGCTCTACTAGTTTCGAACCACAGAGGGGTTCTTCCTCATGAGCGTGAATCGTGCGCGAGCTTTTCTCAG